GGAGATGCATTGACCAATCACGTGTCAGCTCGACGGTTGGCTCCGGGACCGAGACCTGCCTGACCTGGAGAGCAGCAGCACCACCACCACCACCACCACCACCACGGTCAATATCACATCCACATCTACCTTATGATTATTATTACTGGAGGATGGTGATGTTGGGAGATGGTACATAATTGGAAGATGGTATTGATTAGCCGCGATGGCCCGTGGAGCAATCAGGGAGGAGAGCGAGGACAGCCGCATGCGTTTCATCCCTCCTCCATCTCGTCCTACCTCAGTGCATCCCTTCATCTATCCAATTCCTCCATTCTATTCCTCCATGCGAACCGTTCATCCATGCTTCGCCGTCACCGCATCTGCACTCGGCATCTGTCTCCCTCCTCCTATTCCTGCTCCCACCTCACTCTCCTCTCCGTTCTATTCCATCCCATCCCTTCGTCTCCTCAACTGTGCCTTGTCTTCTCTTCTTCCTCCACCTCCTTCCTTCCTTCCTTCCTTCCTTCACAGACAGCTGGTGCACCGTGTGACACGTGCTGCTTTTCTTTTCTCCGCCTCCCGGCATTCATGACACCCTAGCCCTCGAGGTCAATGGGCCTCTTCCTCGACCAACATGGACACTTCCGAGGCTGGCTGGCCGCCTTACTCTGCTGCTGCGCAGCCGTCGGGGAAGACGAGAGTGAATCCTTCGCAAAAGAAAAGACCGAGATATCCCGACGTGAGTACATACATGTTCACTGCGGTGTCCTGCTGCTGCTGCTGCTGCTGCTGCTGCCGCCGAGATGTATCGCTCACTGGCTGCTCCAACAGCCATCACCGCCCGGAACAGCGTGTGGAACGACCAACCCACGCCACTCAAGCCCATGATGCTCGGGAACCCGGCGCACGCCCACCCCTCACCCTCGAATAATGCCATCCAATCCGCTTCCACCCACCACCACGACCGTGTCCCACCCATTTCGGAGAGACCACCTTCCCTCAAGCCATTGGATCTCGGACACCCCTCCCTCGTCGGCCGAATGTCTCTGCACGGGAGACGCAAGAGCGCCACCACCCTCATCAAGCGCGTCAGTCGACCGACCGACTTCCGACGGCTCGAGTACACGGAGAAGCTGCGCACCTCCCTCAAGCCGCTGCAGCTGGATCCGGTCGTTTTGCGGGAAGCGAACAAGGCAGACTTGATCAAACGTGGCGCATATCTGGACCTCGACAGCTCGCCACTGCCCGAACACTCCGCCATGACCGACGACTGCACTCGCCGCTCCTATCGAGCAACGCGAGGCACCCCCTGGGAACGATGTCAGCAATTGGCCGCCAGCGCTTCGTCGTCCTCGCCCGCTGCGATTGCCGGCGAGAGGGGCCAAGGGATACTGGCGCCTCCGGAGAAGCCTGAACCGAAGCGGCCGACGCTATCCGCGCAGTCGTCCTCGAGCTCACTTCAATCTCTGCGCCATCAGGGCATGGAATCTGGAGTGTTGGCAACTTCGACGCCGTCGAGTGAGAAGACTCGTCTGCATCGAAGGCGATCGAACCACATGGGCACAGGGGACAGCGCGGACCTGGACCTCGAGAAGGAGATGCTCGAACTAAATACCATCATCGAAGAACGCCGAGCAGGAGCTGCGCGTCCACGCAGTGCGGCTCTTCAGCATGTGCCCGCCGTCGCTCCTTCAATGGACGTCACAGCTAGATCCGAGACCTTGACGGACATCGCCTCTGCTCTCTCCCGTCCAACCTCTCCCCCTGCACCAGAGGCATCGCACCAGCTCGCCTCTCCAGCAATACCACCCACCAGCCCCGCCAAATCCCGCCTCTCACGCCCCTTCATGTCCATGCCAGACGTCACCATCGCGCAAGAAGAAGACCAACACCAACACCAACACCAACAACAACAACACATCCGCCGCCCCAGTTCCAGAATCACGGGCTGGCTCTCGACCCTCCTCTCCTCCTCTCCCTCGCAAACGACCTCCGCCTTCGCCAACCCCCCTCCCCCGGAGCGCGCGGCGGTGCTCTCCAGTAGTAGTCGCCATCGCACCACTTCCGAAGCTTCCCTCTGTACTACTACGACCCGGACCGATCCGGACTCTCCCGCCACGACGACGACGAGCACGAGTACTCCTACTGCTCCCTCCCCCGATCTCTCCCGAGCGCACAGCCGCCCCGTGACCGTCGACGGATTGCTGGATGCAAGGGCACGCGAGGTGGGAGCTTGGCCACAGATGCGGCGGCAGTCTCATCCGGGTCAGGTGGGATTGGCGTTGTAAGAAACCCACGGGGGATTCGTTTCTTTCTTTCTTTCTTTCTTTCAGGGAGAGAGAGAGAAAAAGAGAGAGAGAGAGAGAGAGAGAGAGAGAGAGAGAGAGAAGAAGACGAAAGCTTTCTCACAATGGCTTCTCACAATGAACTTCTGTTTGTGGGTTTTTCCATGGATACTTTTCTAGATACTTACTAACATCAAAGATACCCTCCCCCGCCCCCATCCCTCTCTATTCAAAACATCATGACGGAAAAGTGTGTGCGGGCCCGAGGTGTTAAGGAAATTTTTTTTTTTTTTTTTTTGGGGGGGGGGGGGGTAAACTTTGATGATACACGATTGTACACTCTCCACCGCTATGCTATCTAGATATGTATGTATGTATGTATGTATGTATGTATGTATGTATGTATGTATGTATGTATGTATGTATGTATGTATGTATGTATGTATGTATGTATGTATGTATGTATGTATGTATGTATGTATGTATGTATGTGTGATTTATGTATGTATGTATGTATGTATGTATGTATGTGTATGTATGATTTTAAAAAGCTCGTGTTTTTTTTTTTTTTTTTTTTTTTTTTTTGGAAATCCAGTATATGATATCTTTCCAAAAGTAGTTCTTCCCATCAATTCTGGAGACAAATCTCTGCATTCATAGACCTTTTTTCTTTTTCTGTCTTGGGGGGGGGGGGGGGAAAGGAGCAAAATAATAGCTATTTAATTTTTTTTTCCTATATATTAATAATAGATAGATAGATAGATAGATAGAGTAGTATATATAAATACTAATCTAAACCTCCCTATATCCCCTATACTATATAAGCCTCCCCCCCTCCCCCCCCCCTAAAAAGGACTTCGATCTACGTAGAGTATAGAGATTAGTATTAACTTACTTACTTCGTAAGACTATAGCGTTATACTAGGGTAGAGAGGTAAGAAAAAGGGGGTATTAATATATAGTATAGTATAGTAAAAATATTTCCCGGAGAGGGATTTATTCGGAGTAGGTTCCTTCCTTTTCTAGATAAAAGAGGTAGACGCGATAGGTATACGATACCTCTAGCGAACGATACCACATTTTGCAGACTTTGCAGCGCGTGTGATGGGTCTTCCTGGCCTCGTTTCAGTAGCCCGGCAAAACTTCGTTCTGCCCAATGATCGCAGTAGCCTGTGAGAGATACGACCGCGCGGAGATGGCGATCACAGGCCAGGTCAGCACTATTGCAGAGAAGGCTTTCCTGGCGGAGGCATGAGGAGCTAGGTCGTTGACGTCATTTCGTTGCCGACTCTGATGAGTGTCCAGTAGGGCGGGCCGCGAGTGCGTCTCTGGTAAGAGATACGGAATCTCGTGCTGTTGTCGAAAGAGGTGCCGTCTTCGCGTGACCCTGACCCGCAAGCCGCGCATCTCATGGCACTGAAGTCTCTCCTAACCGGTGCAAGCATGCCTGAACCTTCGAGGTTTTTCAAGAATATTCGTCCTCATCCATATCATCGAAGACCCAGTGATCCCGAATCGCTGTCAGCTCCTCTTCAGATTCTGCCTGGTCCAGAGACAACTGTTTCATCCGAGCGATTGCTTCTTTGGCAGCATCATAATTTTCATGGGACACCCATCCCTCAGGACCCAGACCAATCGTTCTCTTGAACTCTTCCAATTGCTCTACACCTTGTTGCTCCGCGTCGTCAAGGCGGAGGCAGTCTATTTCCTCCTCCTGCGTGAACGAGATTGGACAAGGCACAGCGGGATCCGAGCAGATCTGACTCCAGTGTTGCTTGACAAAGATCAGACTGGAGCGCATGGGGATGTTGTCGCCTTGCCATGGCTCGCCCGCCAATCGATGGATCTTCTGCCGACCAACCGCGAAGGGATAAGTAAGAGCCTTAAAGTGAGAAGGATCGTGACGCTCTATCATTTCAACATACCCTTGATGCTGATGATCAAGACGTTCAAGTTCTTCGCCTCCGCTCTCTTGTAGAGAAGTGCTCGATGTTTCAGATGTGTCAGAGGGACGTGATTGGGGGTCCAGGAATTCCGGTATGCCGCAGCTCAAGAATAAAGGCTGCACGACACTATGCTGCCAGTCAATGAGCGCCGTGATGTTGAAATCATCAGAGACGAAAATGTTGCCCGGTCGAAGGTCTGGATGTCTCAAAGTTGGCGTATCAAGGCCTTCAGCTCGTGGGACCAGGTACTTGGAAATCTGCAGGTACTTTTGAATGCTATCTAGATGAACAGATGGCAGTTGTTTCTCGAGGTTGAATGTCTCTCTTTGGAATCGGTTGAACGGTAGAAGCGGTCGGCCGTGTTGTTGTAGATATCGTATCTCCTTGATGGCGCCAGAGTTCATTACAGCTTCTAGGGTGGAGACTAGGGATGGTCAGTTTCTCCATGGCATTAGAACCTCAGTCTGCAAACTCACAATGTCCCCGATCGACGTCGAGGCTGCTTCTGCTACCAAACCAAAACGAGAAATCGGTGGTGGGGCCGAGGAACAGTGAGTTCGGGCGGTCGGCGTCCTCAGGATCCACGGCGACTCTAGTGGCACTCGCGGATACGTCTCGAAGAAAGTAGAGACTGCCGCTCGCCGGTAAGCGAATGTTGGACAGTCGCGCCTCCACATCTACGATACTTCTAACAATCTGGGTTTGGCCAGCTTCCGCAAGACCATCCCATATGCTGGCAAGATCCGTTCCAGGGCAAAATTCCATGAATATATACTCTGTGCCTGCAGGATTGTCCGAGGAGCATGAGTAATCAAAAATCCTCGGGACCGGAATACCCTTGAGACGGAGAAACGTCATGGTCGCTGCTTCGCTAGCCACGACAAGTCCCTTGGGCTCCACGCAGGGGTACGGAACACGTGCCACGATCTTGAAGCCATCTCTGAAATGGATGGTGAAAGCACGATTGGCAGCGCCTTCACCTAGCTTTTGAATACCGGCTATGTCCTCTGGGTTTCGATCAACTGCATGGGCAGCGAGACGCTGCAATTGAGCAACATTGAATATCCTTTCCCGTTCTGCCAAGCGTTTCTCCTCGTTGTAACTGCTCGGTCAGCGAACGCAAGAGCTCCACGGAAATACTAGATATTTCCACCCATCTTCCAGATGTGTATGTGAACAGAGAGGACGTAGAAGCAGAGGCTGAAGTTTTCACACTGCTCATCGCGCGACCAGCATGCAAGTAGGTGTTGGCACAGCACTGCTTGGCAGTTCGCCTAATGCGCGGCGCAAGATATCTGATTGCGCATCTCATGGCTGGTGATTATGACGAAAAGTTCGGACGAGCGACAAAGAAGCATAGTGTTGTTAGTGTATGGTAGAGCAGAGAAGTGGTGAGGTGTAGTTGATCTCTGGAGGTTAGACTTCTGCCAAGCCTGTGAGCGGACCGGTCCGCTTGCGGCGCTTGGCGGTGGCCTAAGCTTACAAATCCGCAAAATGGTTTTGCCGGGTTTGCTACCGCACCACCACACTCTCACACACCGTAATCGCAGTGGTTAGGCACTGATGTACTCGCTATCGACTCGCAATCCATCTATTAGGTCCTTTATTGTCTACTTTGTCGTTATGCCGCCTTAGGCCCTCGATTTACAGCCCTATCGGCTCTAGATTAAGCTTTAGATTTATACTAGATATACCTACTAGCGAGTCGTACAGAGCCTACATAATACTAAGGGCATTCGCTACGGTATTAGAACTCTATAGACACACTTATCGCGATAGGGAGTAACTACTCGCCCTCGAATTAACTATAGTAGTAACGTAGTACTAATTAAGCGGATTACCGAGCTATTCTAGCTATATACTATTAGCGACAAGAAGAGCTATACTATACTACGGCTTAATAGCTATAACATCTCTTTAAGGTAGTATTAAGAGCTCCGCCGTACTTACGGCCTTAAGCGTCGACTAGAACACGAGGAATTAGAAGTAGCTACTACCTACGTCGATAAGGTGCTTCGAGTAGTACTAATTAATAGGCAAACCTAAGACTTTAGCTATCGCAAGCTCGTACGAGAGTTAAGAACCTACTAGTATATTATAGGTAGGTAGGGAATCGACTCGTAGCCGACTCGTAGCCCTCTTCTTACTATACTAATGCCTACTAGGGACCGTATCTACCGGATTTCACGGCAAATTAACGCTCTACTATATAAGCTTCGCGAACCACGTAATCGCTATCCGAATAGGCTACGGTACGTACGACCAAAAGCTAATAGGCCTAACTACGTCTAGTTAATTAATGCCTTCTACAAAATCGAGCAATTCGGCATTTAGATTTACGCCTATATTAACGTCTACTTACGCCGGATTATCTAGTTCTACGTTAGCCTAATAGTAAAGACAAAGTACTTAGTGTTTTCGTAGTACTATACTGTAATTAACTATATCTAGCGAGTCCCTTAGCGAGTCCGCTCTAATTAAGGTGTCGAGACACCTATACTAGTAGACGCCTATCTACGGCTTCGAGAGCTTATCGAGGGCCGTAATATCGACTTTGTTAAGGCCTTCTTATATACTACGAGTAAAGGCAATTAGACTATTAAGTACTAGTAGGGCGAGATAGCTAAATTAGCTATAAATCGCTAGAGAGACCTATTTAACTAGTATATTAACCTACACCTTTTCGAGGCCGCTAAGCTATCTAATCGACTCGCCTTCCTCGTAATCTATACTCTAATTATACGCTATATAGTTAGTTACTTTGTCTTAGAGTAGAATCGGCACCCGGTACGAGTACAAAACCTTAAGAGCTATATTAGTAGTATACCGGATTTACTCTACGAGTATCTAGAGCTCGAGGACACTACCTAGCGTAGGCATCTAATTAACCCTAAGAGTCTAGCGAGTACTACTCTTAAGTAGTAGATAAACCGGATAGACGGCTATAGTAAGCTCCGCGGGTAATTAAAGAGCTTTCTATATTAGTACTAGGTAAGTAGCTCGAAATTGGACCGTACTCGTAGCTAATTTAGCTGTACTCGTAGTCACTCGCAGCTCTAGCTACCCGCCTATAGAGTTACCCCTCTCTTACTCCTACGCTAACTACGCCTCGCTATATATAGACCTTAGCTTATACCTACCTCCGACAACTCTATAATAGGTAAACGAACAGCTCGTACTCGCTAGCTACCCGTTAACCTTTAAAGGTAGCGAACCCGGATTCGGTAATAGGCCTAAGAAGCTTTATATACACGCTTATTAGTACCTCCGAGGAGTAGCTAAGTAGTACCTAGATACTAGTAGACGACTCGCTAAGTATATCGCGCCGACTCGCTTAAATGGCCTCGAGCCGTCTAATCGTACGAGAACCGTCTTTACTACTACTAGGGAGCCTCTATAAAGCTTCGTATATACTCGTAGTAGACTCGTAACGTTACATTCCTTAATACTACGTCTTATCTTTCTATATACGTCTATTATAGCTTCTTCTACTAACTTCTAGGAAGACTTCTATATATCTAATAAGGTAGATTATACTCTTAATTATACTAAAGAGTATAGCGATAAGCCCCGCTATAGTAAATGCGGCCTTAGGAACCCGTTCTTTACTATAGTAGACACTAATATAGCGAGTCGCCGCGAGTCGACTGTAGGCCCTTCCTTAATACTAGTACCGGATCCGATCGATTCCCCTACTCTACGGCGGAAGGAGCCCGCGTCTATAAAGGGCTATAGTAGCTTTACTAGACTCGCTAAAAGCTTATTTAGCCGTACTAATGCCGTTTTAGCCGCTAATAAGAAGTAGCATATCCGCCCGCTTAGTAATATAGGTATTAATCCGTTATCCGGAGAGGTATAAGGTCCTCGTACTAGTAAAGCGAGTCTATATAGGAGCACGCTAATCGCTACGAATCGACTTAAGGCGGGTAGTAGTAGTAGTACCGAGCTACGAGACGACTCGTAGGCCGACTCGTAGTCGTAGAACAAGGGTAGTAGACCGAAGAAAGTACTAAAGGGCCCTAAGCTTTACGTTATAGTATATATAAGCAAAGTAGTAGTTAATGTAGTTAAGAAGGAAGGCTAGTAGAGGTGGACGGTTAGAGATAATCTAGAGCTAGTCGATTACTAGTCTATCGTAGGCTACTAGAGCGACTTTAAGGCCCTACTACTCGACTCGCCGCGTACTCGTAACTAGCTTTACTACTAGGCTTTATACGCTAGCTATATTAAGGTTAAGAAGGTTACCGGCCTATAGTACTACAAACGTCCGTTTATATATACCCGGTACGACAAAGAGTAGAAGCTCTTAATTATACTAAGCTCGAATAGTAGAGACAAAGACGACCTTAACGAGCAATTACTACTATTTAAGCGTAGGTACTAGGCAAATCCTACGCGAAAGGAGGTAGATATTAGGGTCGCTGTCCTTATAGCTAAAGATAAGCGGTAGAATAGGCTTCCGAAGGACTACGGCGAGTCTAGCGAGTCTACTAACGACAGCTCCTCTTTAGATCCGGATCTAATAAAGAGCCTTAATAGGCGCTATCGTAGTAGGCGTCTAGGTTGGAGGCCTAGTACTAAAGCTAAAAGAAAGATAGCTAAGGAGGCAGTAGCGAGTATAGTAGCGAGTATAGTAGCGAGTACTAGCGAATCTAAAGTAGTGCCTTCTACTAGCCCTAATAAACTAGCTAAATTCCGCTAGCCTACGAGTCCCTCTACGAGTGCCTAATCTACCGAGAAAGAGGCCTCTACTAGTCCGCTAGTTAGTTACAAACGTTAAGCGAGTCGCGAATTACCCTATCGATCTACTCCTTCGTCTATATCCGGTACCTAGGGATTAAGCGCCTATAACCCTATCGATATTATTAACCTTACTAATAATAACGACGACGACGAGCCTACGTACGTACGAGTGCCTAAAAGCAAGCTAGTAGTAAAGTAGGAGGCACGTATAGTAATAAAGAAGGAGCCTATAGATTTAAGTACTATTAAAGAAGGAATAGAGATTACTCCTACGGATTTAGTAGAGCGAGTCGCTAGCGAGTCGCCGGTAGCGACGGAGATTTAGGGCGATAGGTAGGTTACTAGCTTACCTAAGGATACTAAGGCTACGAGTATACTAGCGGAGCCTACGAGTACGCCCCCGAGCGGACTAGCGAGTACTACGAGTGTACTAGCGGAGGCAATAAGGAATAAGAAGCTAAGGAAGGAGTATATAAGGATTCCGGAGTTTTAAAGGGTTATAAGGGCGTTAAAGAAGCTATAGCGAGTCGGTAGCGAGTTAGTAGCGAGGCTTTAAAAGGACAGAAGGGCGTATAGGGTTAATAGTATAAATATAATAACGATTAAAGGCTTAGAGATCTCTAATATTAACATTCTCCCGACTCGTAGGCTAAAATTAGGTAGACTCGCGGGCGATTTAGGGATTCTACGATCTCTAAGATTCGTAGTATTATAATTTGCCCGACTCGTAGGCCTAAAATTGCTAGATTCGTAGGCGATTTAATCGCTCTAAGATTCTATATATCCTAAGCTACCCGACTCGTACGGAATCGTAGGCTAAAATTAGCTATACTCGCTATAACTCGTAGGCTAGAATTAATCTATACTATCTACTAAGTATATTTGCCCTTATATTTAGCTACGAACTACTCGCTACCCGGTAGCTACGTAATAAAGTCTATTATATAGTAGAGCTTAGCCTCTAGATTATTAATACGCTTATAGGCAAACCCTAAACCCTCCTTAAGCCTAGTAATCTTAGTTTAAAGACTCGTAGGCTTCTACGAGTCGCCTATCTCAGCCCTAGAGTTACCTATAGTAGCCCTAGAATTACCTATAGTAGCCTACGAGTCCGGCTTAGGCTTTAGCGAGTTATCCTACTTATCCTTCTACTTCTCGTACTTCTTCTAGAGCTTACTATTATAACCTAGGCGACCGTAGCGCTTATAGAACGCGTATTAAGTATATTCCTTACCTTTATAGATAATATAATCTAGACCTCTCGTAGCGTACTACTTATAGCCGCTAGGCTTAGAAGATAGTATACCTACGAGTCGATTAGATTTTAGTAGCGAGTCTATATAAATTAGAAAAAGCATACCTAGATCCGTCTCTATTATCTCGCTAGCGTAAGTAAACCGCCGTAGGCTATTAGCCGCGGACTTACGAACCTACTTATTACTAGATTTAAGATTGTTTAAATAGCGCTACTAATCCTTATCGGAGATATACTAGAATGTAGTCTTATCCTACGTCTCTAGTTTACGGTAGGACTCGCTAGACTCGCTAATTAGCTTTTGCCTATTCTTTAGGCTTCGGATAGCTTACCTTAGGGCCGATATAGTTACTACTAGGGCGCTCTCGGGCGTAGACTAAGGCGGAGGCGAAGGAGTAGGTTAATAATTAGGCTAGTATCGGTCGTAGAGTCGTCTATAGATAAATGTAAGAGTCTCCTAGTCGATTAATACTATAAATTGTCGATTTACGAGTCTACGAGTACGATCTAGGTAGGAAAAGAGGTCTAGGTTCGCTAGATAAGAATGCCTTCTTATAAAATAGCCTACTTATTGTTAGTAGCTGCCTTATTGTTCGATATTGTGGACTCGCACTTACAATAGTATAAGCGCGACAATAGCTTTTAATTAATATAAAGCCGCGTACCGCTATTGACGGGTTCAATATAAAGCCAAAAGCTGCGCCTGACTTCATATTAACCGTTCACGTCGACAATAGCGGTGCGCGACACTCGTGGAGCCTCATTGTCGCCGTCGTAAGTTGTTATTGTGGTGGTAGAGTGAGTCGCGACTCACTGCGAGTGCCGCTTCGGCAGTCGGCAAAACCATTTTGCGGATTTGTAAGCTCAGGCCACCGCCGCTTCCCGCAAGACAGCCGTAGAAGGCACCTGCAACAATCACACAAAATTGAAATTTACAAACCCGAAAGTCTCTCGACAGGATCCGGATTGTCCATGTCTTGCCAGTTGTTATTGACAATATCTTCGCCAGCTCCTGGTGAACCTTTCGTATTTGGTGCGGTCCTGAAGCATCATACAACGACAAAGTACATAGGGCTTCTCGCCGCCTTTCTGCTTCAGAACGTACTCCCAGGCGGCTTTGCCATCTCATCTAGCATCATACGCAGGATAGGCCCCCCCCTACCGTGGCCGATATTCCAAAACCGCAGAGCTACTACCCAGCAGCGACAGCCAAGGCCGGTGGAATTATCGATCTTATTCATCGGGGCTGTGGAACGTTTCATATAGGGCGGCGCCTGGAAAAAGAGCAGTCGCATATGGAGGGTTGGAGTGTCGTTCCGGGCTGACCAGACTCTCATTAAGAGCTTCTGGTTCTTCCAGTCCCTGAGATTTTTCTGGCCGTCGGACGAACAGGAAATTTGCCTTCAATATTTTGTTCTAGCACGATATGTCTGGATTCTTCTAACCACCCGTGAGATCCGGTAACTATCCGAGGTTCCTAATGAACGGCCACAAATCCTTTGGGACATGTTCACTAACGTCTCCACGCATCTCCTCGAGCATATCCTGCAAGTGACGATATTCTTTATTCACCTCGTCCAGTCTCCGATTGACGAACTCCAACTCAGCTTCGTACTCCGCAACATCTTCCTCAGCATCCGCGATCCTCTCAGGCCAGTCTCTGAGCATGATTGGATCATCCGGAAAATCATCGTCGTCCTCCTTCTCCTGAATATCGGTGTCCTCAGTATCGGCGTCCTGGATGTCGGCATCCTGAGTATCGGCATCCTGGATATTGGCGTCCTTGGTGTCGGCGTTCTGGGTGTTGGCATCCTGGGTATCGGCATCCTGGTCAACCACAGCCGACTCCCCCTTACCCTTCTCTTTCGCCTTCAACTTCCTCCTCTCAGCCGCTTTCTTCACAAAACACTCCCTCTCCAACCATATACGACATTCCCAAACCAGCGCAAATGGCACAGCGCTCCCATTCTCCACCAAACCGACCAGCTCCTTCTCCTTCTCTCCATCTGGGTGTCCCGCCCGGTCCACGGAATTCCTCAAGTACCATGCGGGAACATCCTTCCCCAGGAGAAGCATGTTGTGGATCCCGTACTGGTTGAAGCGCTGCTTGCACGCATGCCAAGTGAGAGCGACGTGCTTGCCGGTTTGCTCCCATTCGGTCTTGCTGGGCATCGATGTGTGTCCGTCGTTACGGACCCGCTCGCAGATCTGGCTGTTGATTTCGCTGAGAGCACGTTCCGCGTTGAAGCGCGGAGCGTTGTTTGCGCGTGTGGGTTGGGTTGGGGATCTGTAAGTCTGGGTCGTTTCGGCAGTGGTGGTGGTGGTGGTGGTGGTGGTGGTGGTGTTGTTTGGGGTGGTAGACATCTTGGGAGAGGCCGTCTTACGTCGGAGAGGAAGAATATCAATTCAGCGGAGATCATGAGAGCTGTTTTATTAAGTATCCTTGGAACATCCTTCATGTTTGCTTGCTGAATAAAGTCACGCTGCGAGAGAAGTCTGTGGATACATGCTGACCAAGACAGCAGGCAAATCGGCTCTTTCTTCACCTTGTAGGAAGCAAACAATCAATGGACGAAGAATGTGCCTAGCCGGAGTCCGCACGTCAATCAAAGATGCGGGCGAGAAGTTCAATCATTGAGACGGCAATGCTTGTGTGAAATGGCACGAGTCTATTTATCCCATCGCTGATATCCACACGCTGACAATTGTCGCCAGACGAAAGCTACCCATCAGTTTCGACGCATGCAGTGAGTATCCACGATGTCGGCCTTCTATCCTCCTCTCTAGGCTGACAAGTCCGCTGGAGATGTGGAAGTAGCGTCCAGACGTGATGGTGCCACAGGATTCGATCCCGAGACTAGTATCGAAACCAAACGAGACAACGCAGAGTTCGATCCCAACACCGGCTTCAAAACCAGGCGAGATGGCACCACGGAATTTGATCCCGACACCGGCTAGACTCGAGAGGGAGGAGTGCGGGAGGTTGAAAGTGTACTGTGTCTTGGGAGAACTGTAGACGGAGCGGACTCCCCTCTCAATGCGCTCGTAGCAGAAATCAGGTCGTGCGAAGCGTCGTACTCCACGAATTCCGAGGCCGCTTCATGGAAGCCTTGATCAAATGTGAATCGCCTGATCGGCTGACGAAGACGAAGGAGCGGACCGTCCAGCTGCCGATCTGATGATCAATTGAACTTGGAAACGTCCGCAGGTCCGGAACACAGGAAACTCCACGGCACCGACTTATACTCACCAATGTATACTCACCAACGCACTGCCACGACCTCGCGCTGCTTGGCTGCTTTTGAATCACATACTGGTTGACCAACAGATGTCACCGATCAGGCTGCTTCTGCGGAAGGATCGTCCGCGATCCTTAGCTGTGCTGCTATTCCTGGCACATCGTATCTTCGCGGGTGGAGGGATGTACTTCTCGAGCCTCGATGACAACAAAGAGGAGCGAGATTCGATGACTACGCTGCCGAGACCCGCAACATCGTGATACTATCACCTTGATGTTATCATCTTGATATTATGCGGCGTCACATCAGACCCAGTTCGACATTTTCACCAAGCGTCCAGTACCGGTGCTTCGCTGTATGCGACACTCGCTCGTCGAAATGTCCCCAACACGAGCCGACATCCGCGTGGCAATCACAGGCGGAGGCCTAGCAGGAGCGACATGTCTACGTGCGCTGCTGAAACACGACCACATCGACGCCCACATCTTCGAGTCGGCACCGGCTTTCAAAGAAGCCGGACAAGCCATCGGCATGGCCCGAAATGCATACCAGGCCCTGGAACTCATGGACCTCCAGCACTGCCTAGCAGACGCGGGCGCCGTAACGCAATCGAACGCAACTTTCATGTTGGCCGAAGGCACGGAAGCCGGCAAGGTCGTCGACACCATCGACGCCACTGAAGGCAAACGCGTCACCAGTATCGTTCATCGGGCAGAATTTCTCAGACAGCTTCTAGCTGGAGTGAGCCCGGAGAAGATGCACGCATCGAAGAAGCTGGCAACAGTAGACCGCCATCCGGATGAATCGCTCACGCTCCACTTCCAAGGTGGAACCACCCATGACTGCGACCTTCTCATCGGCGCCGACGGCATCCACAGCACCGTCCGCAAAATCCTCCTCGGCGACGACCCTGCCGCAAACCCTGTGCCCGGGGGTTGGTTTTTCCTCGCTTCACTCCAGCCATACGAGAAGTTGCGGTCCGTGCTTGGTGAGGCATATGTCAACAAAGACGACCCTCGAGAGTACGACTGGTTCGGCCATGGCGGGTTCATGATGCATAACTTCCTCAGCGACGGCAACCTCGTGCAGTTCATTGCGTGCGTTGCCACGGACTCGCCGGACGACTCGTGGATGAAGTCGGTTCCCTCTGCGCAGATGAAGGGGTATTTCAAGGGGTATCCCCAGCACTTGCAGGATGCTCTGGCTGTGGTAAGTCGACACATACACCAAAGGGCCCTCTCTTGGCATTAAGAATGATCTTTCGTTGACAGTGAAGCAATAGGCCCTCGAGGGAGAAGAAGAAGAAGAAGAAGAAGCAAAATGCATCTGCATCTGGGAGCACCTCCCTGCCCGCACCTACGCCGACGGACCGATCTGCGTCATGGGCGACGCCGCCCACGCCACTTCGCCCTGGCAGGGCTCGGGCGGCGGCATCTCCATCGAAGACGCCCTGGTCTTGTCCTCCCTCCTCGGCCAGATCACACCCGGTTCGCCCGGGGATATCTCGACCGCGTTGCAAGTCTACGACGACGCACGCCGAGCACGCACTCAGCGAGTCGTCGAATCGAGTCGCGGCACAGGTCGGCTCTTCACGGGCAGGAATCCGGATTATACACTCGATGTCGTCGGCTTGCGGGGCAGAGTCGCTTCGAGGTGGGATTTCATCTTGGATCTTTGATAATGCTGCGGCTGCGGATGAGGCTGTAAGGAGGCTTCGAGAACGGCTTTGAGAGGCTGTTCATGGTAAGGGGCTAGGAGTATTCCTGCAGCTACATACCTACCTACGTCTCTGCCGAGTTGCTGGTATGATGGATCCACCTTCTAAGCAGAGTCAAGTTGAGTCAAGTTGACAATCGCAGCAAGTCCATAGATCGTCGTATTATTCGCGGACCATCAAGCAGCCTCATCATCCACCGGACTCACAACTTCGCAGCCCTTTAAGCTTATACTGATCCGAGTGGCATGACATATTGGCAACGCTTGAATAATATCATGCCATATCCTTCGGCATTCGACATGAACGGCCATGAGACCCGCATCGCGGAGAGCAAAAAGAGAGAGAGAGAGAGAGAGCGAGAATATGGCAAAAACATACAGCACGAGGGATTCTCGACTGGTCACCCACGTCAATACTAATCTCGCGGTCGAATGGTTATCTTTGGAAGAGCGGACGGGGTTCCGAGTTCTCATTCGCCTGTGGCCGTATGTGCTCGATAGCGGGAAAAAATCTGTTATCAAGGTAAGGTAAAAATTTTGGGGTAAGCGCCGAGATTGTGCCAGCGTCGGACATGGGGAAGGAACGCGAGCGAGCAAGCAAGCAAGCAAGCAAAAGAGGGAAATGCCGATTCGTTTTCGTCTTCGTTGTCATATTCATCAATCAGAGTAGAAACATAAGAAACGGTCACCCGCTTCTCCTTGCAAGATATTTATAAAAAAAAAAAAAGAGGATCAATCCTGCGGAACCCTCGAAATCGTCCTCTCCAACCTCGACCTCCTCCGGGCGCCCCCACCACCCGCACCCGCATCTTCCTCATCATCACTCTGCGGAATCGCAGAAATGTGTCGTTCCAACTGCGGTTTCTTCTCCCGGACCGGCGATTTCCGGCCCGAATCGTCGCTCCGCATGCCGATCAGGCCTCCCACTTCGAAATCGGAGCCTGCCGTGCCCGAGTCGTGCTTTTCGATCGCTTCTCCCGGGGGAGGAATGTCTCCTTGCGTCTCGCTGTCGTAGTCGTCCTCCGGTAGACGGGAGATTTGCTTTTCGTTGTCGTCCGGTGGGGGTGGAGAAATGGGGTCGGATTTCTCGAGGCCAGGCTCCAGGTTTTCGGAATCCTTCTGGTGGTGGTGGTGGTGGTGGTGGTGGTGGCTCTTGCTGGATTTCGAGACGACTTTCCCCTTCTCCTTGAGCTTCGCAGGGACATTCATCTCGGATGTGCTGCTCTCGGGTGCGTTGGAGGGAGGGGTGTCGAGGGCATTCGAGGGCACGACACCCAGCACTTCGAAGTCTGATCTTGACATGTCCCGATCAGGCTTCCGGATGGACTTATCAGTGGCTGCGGAATCGTTCTCCATGATGCTTTTCCCAAGAATGATGCGCGTCACAATGAGTTCAGTTCAGCAGTGGTCAGAGGTAGCAGAGAAGGCGGCAGAGGACTATCGCTATGTAGAGGTGAAGTCGAGATTGATGATGGATGAGAGAGGCGCAATGCAGTCAGCGGCAGGCTGTCCACGAGTAAGTAAGCTCCTCCTCCTCCCGGACAGCTCCACTGGACTGGACAGGGCATCAGCCTCGACTTGAAACGCGGAGATTCCATCTCTCTCCATGGAGCTTTCTTCCCTTTCCCTTATTATTATTCCCATTGATCTCGGACGTTCTTGAGCGACGCCTACCAACTTCTGACGATCGTGACATCTTCGCTTGAGATGACAGCTCATCGCCTGCTCACCGACGAGCGTAGCATAACGATGGAACACATCATCGAATGCCTCTCGCGAGGAGAGACGACATCGACTGCATCATCGGCCGCAAAGGGAGATTCAGTAACAATCCTCCGCCCGACTTCCTCCATCTCCAGCAGAAGAAGAGAATGTCCACAACGATGAAGAGTAGTAAGTAATGAGTGGAAGAGAAGGTGAAGTCGACAATAGAATACTCTCTCAATCTGGCACATTTCCCAAGGTGGATCCAACCACGGTAGCATCTCGGATTGCGTCGGCTAGATTCTTGGAGGAGAAGCGGTTCCAGCAAAACCACTACTTACTTGAGGTACTATAATGAAGCCACTCCACTCATGTCTCGCATCGCATCGCATCGCATCGCATCGCATCGCAATCCAGACCCTCATTAGAAAGACAAGACAAGAAATCCTTCACCCCCTCTCAACAACAACAACAACAACAACAACAACAACAACAACAACAACAATCCATCCATTCATTCCATTCCATCTCATACAAACAAACAAACAAACACACAGAAAAACATCACCACCACAATGAACCTCCTCACCACATCCCTCATCGCCCTCGCCCTCGCCCTAGCAAACCCCCTCATCGTCCTCGCTCAGCAGGAAACCTCCTCCTCCTCCTCCTTCACCGACTGCGGCAAAAGCGCCACCCTCCTCGCCGGCACGCAACCCTACGTCTTCGCCATCCACTGCGGCGCGCACTACCTCGGAGACGAAATCACCCGCTTCTCCACCACCACCACCAGCACGACCGGCGCCGGCCTGCGAGCCTGCGCGGAAGCCTGCGCCAACCACCAGTGGGTCGCGAAGCCTTGCAGGTCGGCGACGCTCGTGGAGCCTACGAGTACTTGTATTTTGAGGAGTTCGGTGGGGGAGGTGGCGGGGAGTGCGTATGTGGATTGTGCGGTGTTGTTGTGATTTTGATTTGATTGGTTGATTGGATTGATTTGGAGAGAGAGAGAGATGGGGATGGGGGGGTTTGGGAGAGGTTGTACCGTATGCTCGCTTGAAAGGGATGGCTGGAGTGGAGGGGAGTGAGTCTGTCCGCAGCGTGTGGAGTTGGTCGTTGTGAATGCTATGTAAGGTTTGATGAAAAGTTCAGTCTGCTTTTCTGTAGGAAGGAATTCTCTAGCAGAGGCCTCAAAATGCCAGCAGCCACCTTTGAACAGCTCGATTCCAGTCGTGCTCTTCTTACGACTCTGTCATCCGCTCCCTCCCTCAACGTCTCCAGTCACCTGATTCCGAGCTCTCCAGGTGCCCTCGAAAGCACGCGTACAGTAACCCTACAATAACGATACGCATCACGTCGATGCTACGCAGACCCTTCAACTCTCGCACGACGATGGTGCTCTCTCTCCCTAAGCCCAAGATCGCTGCAAAACTCGCTGCAACCGCGCTCACGAACTCCACCGTGAGTGACTCTGCTCGAGAATCGAACAAACCAAATTCGTGCTGGAAAGGCTTCCCTCGGCAGTAACTCCCGCTGGACCATGGGCATCAGATACGTACGTACCATCGGATGCGTCTCGTATTGGCCGGGGGAAACATGATTCTCAACTTCCGGTCCAGGCGCCCTTTAAATGAAGAGCCAGAATTCTTAACGCCGCACGTGTGATGAAAGATCTTTGCCCGGATCGATCTTCCATCCGCTGCTGTGCATAGGGTGCATGTAGGAACGACTGGCGGAGCGGTAAGGTCACGAAACTCTCCTCGCGGGTGTCGGGTCGATTCGAGGCTCTGGGTCGGGGAAGGAGTCCGCTGGGTCATTGAGTTTGTTGGACCTGGTGGTATATCCAGCTGGGAGAGCAGGCCGACGACGGGAAATCCGCATTGCGACCAGATACAGCAGTCAGGTGGCAATGACTATAACCTGGATGTCCTCCGGCGACGGTGGAGGAGGTAGACATGGTGCAGTGGTATACATAGTCTCCCGTCCGTGAACCTCTCTTACACAGTACAACAGCTGTCCTGTCGCTACCCGTCGAGTGTCTGCCTCCCAGGAACTCGATTGGCTGTGTGATGGCGCGTGCTGTTGGCATCCGTATGTTCGACAAGCTAGCGGCTGGCTGCAGGAAGCAAAAACGGGAATCGGATTCAGATTCACGGATCCTAGGTTCCAATTTCGCCTTCCTACCTTCCACACTACCCACCAACTTTCAAGCACAGCAACACCTCGAATGGAGGAGCATCCCCATTGATGCAGAAACGCGCAAAGGAAAAAGGCAGAGGCTTCTTCGAGCACGGTCAACTGACTCGAGGCATATACGTCGCGACCAGAAATCCAAGCGCAAAGGCCAGCAGCACCACGATGAGAACACTCTTCAGCTGGATGCGTGTCGTGTCCAGTACGGCGAGCTGATAGCGAATCTGCTTGCGGAGATTCCACGACTTGGGCCCATACGGAGCAGGCGGCGCGAAAGGTCCAATCTAATCACAATCAGCCATGATTTTTTTTTTAAAAAAATTTGGAACACACGCTCTGCTCTCCTCTCCGTTCCGCGAGAAGAAGACCAAGCATAATACTCACAAACTTCTCAATCGGCTGCACGAGCTCCCTCATCGCACAATCCAACCCCCTCTGCATCCCGGGGAGCCCGTCAATGCTCCAAGCATTCTTATACGCCCAATACCTGGATATCCCCCCCAACATTTCATCAGTAATGGCGCCTTTTACTCAAGGATGAAAAGAAGAACAACGAACTCACCGATCCTTACTCTCCCCCCCGTTCCTCCCCGCCTCAAAATCCCTCTCCTTCTTCTCAAAAACCCGATTCAGCGTCTTACGAAACTCCCGGAATTCAAAAAACGGAACCGAATACCCACAACTACTGCCGACCTGATGCACGCTCACGACGATAATACTCCTCGTCGCGGCAATCACTTCCAAACCCCCTTGCCCTCCCTCCTTCCGTTCTTCTACAAACTTCTCAAACCCCACACTCCCCCGCTCCAGCACTTCCCCATAACCCCACAGACGCACGATCCGCGGCGCCCCTGTGAAAGCGTGGAAGAGCACCGTGATGCGTCCGTTCTCGCGCAGGTGCGCGATCGTCTCGCTGCCGGAGCCGGAGAGGTCCATGTACCAGAACGTGTGCGCGTCGAGGAGGCCGAAGTAGGGCCCGCCTTTGGGGGAGAGGTTGATGTGGTGGCTTGCCGCGAGCGGGGCCGTGGCGACCCAGAGAATTTTTTGTTCGAGGATCCAGGTTTGGAGGTGCGAGGGGATGCCTTCGTAGAAGACGCCCATGTTTGGTCGATGGAGGGGGGGGATTGGTAGAGGAGGGAAACGTGGTGGTGGTGGTGGTGGTGATGTGTTTGTTTTCTGTACTTATTTGTGCTCGGTTGATGATAGGGCAATGCCATGTTGTCCGACGTCGGCTGCTGTGTAACAAGGTTCTCAGCTCGGGAGCTGATTTACAGGTATCCCCGGATAAACAATCACAAGGTAGAACAGCAAGGATGGTGTACATATCGCACGGCGATGAGACCCATTCACAAGAGACGAGTATGTTTGGTATGGACAGACTTGCCGCAACAATCCCTTCGCCGCCCCATCATCAAATCAAACGCTGTCCGAGGCTTGCCTGTCTGTGAAACGGTCGTATCGCTACGTATAACCACTCTCCGTCATGGAATTCACCAGCAGCCCCTTCTCCGCCATCTCGGCGGCATCCTCCAGGAACTTCAACGGCATCCAGACCAGATGGCCCTTGATCTTATCCAGCTCCTGTCGCACGATTTCCACGGGCTGGAATTCATCATACACATGTCCCGTCTTCCGCGACCCCTTAGCGCCCAAGAATTTGTCGTAATCCTCGAAAGTCTTGACGTTGTCGTCGGGGTCGGCGTGGAACAGATGTCGGAAGACGGCCGTGTTGACGGTCGCTTGCTTGGTCCACACGTCCCAGAGCTCGTCGGAGAGAGGGTCCTCGACGAACTTGTCGTACTCGTCGCCCGCGAACCATTCGTTGTCTCCGTCGTCGGGGGGCTGCGCGTTGATGTCGTCTTCGGCGTTCAGCTTTTGAGCTGGTAGCAGGCCCAAGTGCTCTCGCCATAACATCCTCCGGAGACTTGCTGCGTGGTGTCCGGCGCGGAATTCTTGTCCGTTCATGATGGATTGAAGTGGCATTGTGTCCTCCATGACGATACTCAACTCGGAGTCGTGGAAGCCCAATTGGCTTCGATCATTGATGTTGCTGGAACCACAGATGACGATGCGGTCGTCGACAATGAGAACCTAGAGGACCATCGTCAGCTACCACCTGTACCGAAGAGGACCTGCAACGAGTAGGTCGCAAACCTGGACTCACCTTTCCATGAATGTACAGCTCCTCCTGCACAAAGTTCTCCAGCTCTTGTTGTCGTAACTCGTCGTCGTGCTCACTCTCCCCTTTCCTCGTACCGTCCGAGTTTCGTCCCGCATATCCTTCTTGACTGGGCTTCTTCTCCCCAAGCATGGCATCTTTCGCAATCGAGTCGTTACTGAACTCGTACTCATCCTGATGCGGATGTTGCTGCTCTTCAAATCTCCTCTTCTTCTCCATCAGAGCTTGGGTGTCGTCATTGGGATCCTCGGGATGCACCTTGTCCTCCTCGTCCAGGTCCATGCTCGTTCTGCGTGTCTTGTTGAAGAGACCCTTCACGCCTCCCTCTTTGCCCGCTTTCCTGAATCCGCTGGACCCGGCGCCTTCAACACCTTCACTTGCATGCACCTGCTCGGGCATGATCTCCTCAGCCATTGCACGCTGTACCTCCTGATAGTCGACGCCCGTCTTTTCCTCTTGCTTCTTCAACTCTGGCGTCTTGTTAAGACGATCATATGACCGGAGGTTGAAGCAATAGATGTACTTGGCCGGGTCCACACCAGCGGCCTTGATCCTGCCATAGATACTGTGGTCACCTCGACAGATAGACTTGTACTGGTAGTCCATGATCGCCCGCGTGCCAGCTGCTGCGTTGTCTCGAAGATCTCCAGCAAACCCAGGAATGCATGGAATCATGATGATGACGCGAAACTTCCGGTCTTCCTCCGCAGCTTTCACGCAGGCATCGACAATAGCTGCTCCAATCTGATTGTGTATCGGTGCTTGTTCCTCGCCGGTTGCCGTCTACATTCAAGCACGGTATGTTAGCACATTTCAAGAGCATGAGACGTCCACCTCAATTTTCGGTAAACTTACAATGAAGAATTGGTTCTCGATGTAGACAAAGTGTTTTGCCTCGCGGATTACCTGGCAATAAGCATTCTGAATGCTCTGCTCGGTGAGAATTCCGGATGACCAGTCTGCTGAGGAGCGTACGACCTGGGCATGCACCGTGCCCTGCGACCCATTTGTTCCGTAGTCTATCTTGACCGTTCCTTGGTCTACTTTCTCAGAAGGATAACCCTTGCGTTTCTCGTAAACACCGCCCGAAGCGCTCACAGTACCTTCTTTCTTGGCATCGTTGCCAGTCATCTTCGAGTTCTCCTGACGTTGGACGCCGTCTTTGTGAGTTTCGGGGGTCTCCTTGCCGACATGGTGCATGTGCACGCCTCCTCGCTGATCCCATTCTTTCTTCAATCCATGGCCGAAAGCATGCTGGTCTTCAGTATAGCCGTGCTCATCGATTGTCTGCTGCGCATCGTGGAACTCGTCATCTCCAGAAACGTCAGCCTCCGAGCTAGCTTGCCCTGGATCATAACAAAACTTACCCTGTAGTGGATTACCTCGCTTGTGCTCCAAAGGTGAAAACGGATGATTGACGTATTCTCCCACTGGATGCTTAGGCCTCTGGACTCCAATGAGATCCTCGTCCTCTCCATTCCGACCGGTAAGAGTCAGCCAATCGTAACGATCATCTCGTTTGTACTTGTCACGCTTGCAGAAGTTCCACCTCAGCACAAAGTGCTCTGCGATATCGTAGATGCAAGGTCCAATAACGCCCATTGCCACGTCGTGCCATGGCATTCGTCCATACTCTGCTTTGGAGACCTCATTGCTCTTCCAATCCTGCACACTCTGAAAGTCCATGATTCGGTTGTTGTTGAAGTCTTGGCCCGGAAAGACCTCATTCTGCACACCCGAGGGATGTGCGTCGGCGAGAGGGTGCTGTCGATCATCCCACCTTCCGAAGCAAAGATCCAGACCGCCAATGAAAGCCAGATCGTAATCGATCACGATGAACTTCTCGTGATGCGCCCAGTAGAAGGTCATATCAGAGGCATTCTCGAAGACGTTGTGATCAGGATGCCGCATCACTTTGATATTTCCGTATCCGGGGCTTCCCTCTGGACATAGCGAACTCAATGCCTTCTTCGTGTGTTGCGAATTGCAGGTCAAGGCGTGTTCAACTTCGCGGTACACGATCACATAGATCTTGACTCCTCGCTCTGCTGCGCGCTTGAGGGTGTAGTCAAGTCGCCATTCTTGGTTGTGGTACGGTGGTCTGCGCAGGAATAGTTCAGGACTAAGCCACCAGTCCGCAATGTAGATGACCTCTTTGGCTCGCTCCAGCGCAACCGATACCGCATGGAAGTAGTCGCGGCCGTCGATATACCATTTGATCTTGTTGCCTTCCCGCTCTGGAGCAAAAGACTGGAATCGATGGCCTTCCGCAACTCTGGTCCGCTTGGCATCGGTTTCCTGTTCATGTTCCTCGTCGTGCCGATGGTTCTGGTTGACCAGATTTTGGAACTTGCCGAGGCGATGCTTGAGGTGAATGGCGCCTACCTTCACGTCATACAGCTTCGTATGCTTCAGCTTCTCTCGTAGCCCGCCATGGCCCTCGCTGTCTTCACTGCCCCTCGACTGATGCCCGGAGCCGCCGACGTCGTGGGTCTTGCCGACCATGATGGGAGGTGGGCTGAGATGTTGTGTTCTGGGAGAGATGTTATTATTATGAGAGAACAGAAGTGGGACGAGCAATGGAGAATGTTGGAGCACATGCCAATCCCTGTTCTCCCGATGCAGGAACCGTGGACGCCTTGATGAACCACAGAAGTTCCCCACCGACGTCATTGCGGGGCTTTCACGTGCACGGACGCCGCGGTGAATGAATTCTTGATCGTCATCCGGTTTCTATCAGATCTATCCGCTTGTGCCTTGTGTTATCATATGCAGTCTTCCACCCCATCAATCGGGTTGCATCTCGAGGACTTCAGCAGTAGCAGCCGTCGAGATGACTGTCCGATGTGCGAAGACGCCGTGGCTGATCACTCATCCGACCTGTCCCGGGATCAGCGAATCATCCAGGCATTACTTGGGACTGCTAGGTTAAATACTTGGATCTGTCGCTTGTACCACTGCGCAAGTAATGACAAGTCCCTTTCTCCAAGCTTGGATGTGAAACATAATACACAGAAGTCAATCCCATCTTGCTAGATGAATGGTCTTATGCAATAACTCTGTGGAGTCAGGCCAGGCGGATTATCAACCGTCAATCACGAGCGCAACAGCAATAGCCGCGCTGGCAGCACATGCAACGATACACGAGCCGGCAGATGATTAGCAAATCGCCGTTGATCTGGTCGAAATAGTATCACATAACCCTTGTCTAGCAGGTTTCAACGTTGCACAAGTGTGGGAAAGAGCACTGGGCAGCTATGAGGGGTCAAAACAAGTCCCCACCTACCTTACATACATCTACGAACATCCAACATCCAACATCACCAATCCCTCACGAAATCCACAGCCAACATGAGCGACGAAAACACCCAATTCTCGCGTGATGTCGCGCAGGACGCCGGCGAGGCTGCTGGTGGAGTTGGTGAGTCTTGCTCTTCTCATCCAACGTCTCCACGCTTCCTCCCCTGAGCAGCAATGACTGACGCTACCACACCAACAGAAGGAACATACGACTCCGCCCAAGAACAAGTCAGCCAATTTGCCTCCGGAGTCGAGGACGCGCCAGAGCGTGTAGCTCGTGAGGCCGAGCAAGGCTTCGACGGCATTGCGCAGGACGTCAGCGACATTCCGGAAGACGCGGAGAAAGGCGTCCAGGGTGCTGCGAGCTGGGTCGGTGAACAAGTAGGAGGGGCTCAGGAGGATGTCCAAGACGCCGGGAGGGATGTGAGTGACTTTGGGAATGATATGAACCAATCCTACGATCAGGGTGAGGCAGAGGGCAGGCGTGATTAGGAGGTCAACGGGGTCGTCTTAACTCGGCACGTTGGCAGAGAACGTGTCAGGCAGTGCGAGATTAGGCATGGCAGGCATGAACCTTCATCCTACCTACTTAGCTACTCGGACCATGATGACTCGACTCCCGCATCATTCACTTCTTCTTCCCATCGCTCAAACCCCCCAGACTACTCGCCTTCGGATTCGCCGGATCCGATCTCGCCGGATTCCCTTTCGCCAAATTCCCCTTCGCCGGATTGCCTATTCATCAAAACTCATCAGCCACCCCTCAACAAGAGCGGTAGTTGATTCCGTACCTGTGGCCGGATTCGACCATTTCGTCTGATTCGTAGAAGAATTCGCATGGTTATGATAAGGCCCCTTGGACCGCTGCGTCATCCGATCAAGGCCCAGATTGAGCTTGGTGAGAGATTCCACCTTGTCCCGGAGGAGGGTGGCCTTGTCGCGGAGCGTTTGCGTCTGTGGAGGGCGCGAGGAGGGCATTGTTGTTGATTGTTTGTTGGGTGTTGCTCGGATGGACTGAGACCGGGAATGATGTGATGCTGGTACTTGGACACATCGTTACACGGATGACGTTAGGGATCCAAGCACAAGAGGAGTGGCTCGGGTGGGTGGTGACTGGAATAAGCTTTCTTGGCTTGCGCTAGTACCTTTCGCTTGCATGTGATTTTGTTCCACTCGAATGCTTCGATGTGGTGCCATTGCGAGAAATGGCACGCCGGCTCGGCTTTGCCATACTACATACCAGGATGGCTGGGATGCAATCGACATCCACACATCCAGCAATGCCTTTTTAGTTAAAATTCGTGGAAGGTATGCAACTCTCACAGGCCATTGCCAAGGACAATGCTCTCCCGATGCCAGCGATCTCGGCATTCGTTGTACGATTCGGAATTTTCTAGGGACGGCATTGTCAACCCAAAGAGCAGTCGACGGTCCAGAACGTGAGATAAACAATTGATAGCGACGAGCTTCCTTCCCTGAAGCTGCACCTCGTTGCACCATTTGGGGTGTTGACTTTGACTTCTGCTTCCTGCGAGAGAAAGCCTTCGCGTCCCGTCCTTGCGTACACATCCCTACAGTGCTCCGTCTTTTTCTGGCAGAAACGTCCGACGGAGCTCGTATCGGCTGTTCGTCGTTCCAGGCAACAGAACAATAAAGATTGGAATCAAATGCAGCGAGAAAGCTCCCCGGAATTTTCTCTTCACGACATCTGATCCGCTCGTTGGATTGCGGTTTCCATTTCGTGTCGCAAAGGAGCAACGTCTCCAGGGGTTATAATCGTTCGCTCAATGATTTCTACAAAAAGTAAAGATCACCACCATCTTTCCGCAGCTTTTACAAGCGTCGCAGGTGCGAAATCGCTGCTCGCTGTCTTGAATGATCGCGTCACAACCGGCGAAGCCTACCGCGTAGAGTGGCTCTCCGATGCTGACTGAAGAGGTACCCTCTCTATCCTGACGCGGGCACTTTTCCACGATTCCAGCTCATGTATTTAGACCCTCGAACTTGTCGTCGTTGATCAGACTTGCACCGGTCGGACGCCTAGAAAAGTCCCTTTCAAAAAAAAAAAGACGTCGTTGGAAAGACACCAGGCGGCAATTATACCGGGAATGTAGACGATTCAACTTCCGGCTGGGCAGCAAGCGCACGCGACTGACTGCAAGAGCCTCCTCACCATTTCGGGGATCGTTCAAGCTGACAGCCATCCTTCTGCAGTTTGTAGAGAATGGGCCCTCTGATTGAGTTCGAAGGCAATTTCTGAGGACGGGGACGGGATTGCGTTCTGGTCCGGTATCCTGGCTCCGCGGGAGAAGCAAGCAAGAATTGAAGCTTTAGCTACATCTCACCTGCCAAGTCCACGGACATCCTTCTTTCTCTTCGGTGCTCGTAGATGAGCTCATGGTAACAGAATCCAAGGGCCGAATTCGATAGCAGACTTGAGTCCAGCAGTATTACTTTTGCTTCTATCGACCGTACAGTCTCTTTGTGACCAATCCGCCAACGGTGTTGCCAGCACATCTCTCTCCCAAGCCACGAGATGTTGTAAAAGCCAAGCGAGATGTCAAGCAGGAATCCCTGTCGACACCGGAAATGCTGTCTGGTGGCATATCCAACTTTCCAGCACGGTAGGGGCCGCGTCTTGATCGTAGAGCTCAGAAAGCGCGAAAGTTGACTCACAGAGCAACGACCGCGGGCATGACCAGTAGGCAGCAATGTAAGACACATCCCGAATGTCTCCTGAGAGATCGTGAAAAGTTCTCGACATTCATTGCGCCGGCTTTCGACTGCTTGTCTTCTTGTTTCTTCGATCCCCAATCGCGCGTTCAGCAAAGCCCCCTTCATCTCGTATTGTCTCTCATTTCCACGTCGTCATGGGTCTCTTCACCCGCAAAGGAAAACATCAAGCTGAAGGAGAAGCCGGCGACGAAGAAGCAGCACCGGCTTCGGTGCCACCGGCGCCATCCGCAACCCACCTCGCCCTCATCGCCGAGCGAGAAGCAACCGCGTTGGCGCACAAGCGTGCCAACAAAGCCGAAGCAGCCTACCGCGTCCGACGTCGAGCAAAGACCGCAAGAACCGAATACTCTGCCGCCAAGACGCAACTCAAAATGTCCGTCAAGTCCTTCGGCAGCGGCGTCAAATCTAGTGGTCGCTGCATCTGGTACTCGCATGCCGTGGTGCTTGAGAAGGTGGGGAAAGTGGAGAACAAAAAGGAGGAGAAAGCGATTCAGAGGAGGCAAAGTAAGAGGGAGAAATTGAGTGAGAAGGTGAAGAAGATGGAGGAGATGGAGAAGAGGAAGGAGGCGCCTCCTGCTGAGGAGGGAGGAGAGGAGGCAGAGGCGGAGGCGGAGGCGGAGGCGGAGGCGGAGGCGAAGGCGGAGGCGGAAGGATGAGAGATCACATCCGCTAGATCCATGTTGCGGCGAAGAAAGTGATGAGGGATTTCTTTTGGGATGGTCGTTGTTCTTTCGAATTCCCTTTGCTGTTGTCTGTTAATTCGATGATACCACTCTCTCCTCTGTACCATAGGTTTTCAACGCCAGAACGCCTCGCTAATTCCACGATTCGGGCTCTTTATTCGCATAGATCATCTTAACCACCTCAGCACGAGGTAGACAAAGATGATGAATATCACCACGCCGCCCCAGAAGATGAACTTGTCTTGCTTCGCTCTCCTTTCCACCATGCGTATGGTGTCGCCGCTGATGCCCAGCGTCGCGCCAACGTCATACAGCTTCCTCTGTGTGCCCTTGAGCATTTCTCGCTGGTCGCCAAGATCTGCCAGAACTGCCCTACCACGTTCCAGATACTCGTCCAAGGTCTGGTTGGATGAGCTGAAGAAGCTGTTCTCCTGGAGAGCGTGGCCTTCCCGTGCCTGATCTGCTCCAAGACCGTACGGCGACTGGTATGTGCTGTAGCTGTTCACTCCACTCGCTCCAGGGGCGAAATTGGGGTTGTTGGTCCTGAATAGTGGATTGACGTTCTCCCCACGTCCTGCACCACTCGATATGGCGGCATCCGAGTAGGGATTCTCGGGCGTCTGGCTCGCATGCGGTCTCCTCCCAAGCAGCTCATTGCGGTTCTGTGCATGCTGTGCCTGTTCCCTCTCATGCTTCAACTCGGCGAAGCGACTCCTGAATTCGAGAAGCTCGGAGCGGAAATTCGATATGCGATCGCGGCCCTTGTCTGCCTTTTCAGGGACAAGCTCATCCTGAACAGACCTGTCGTAGTCATCGAGCGTTCTCGAGAAGGAGGCCAAGGAGGTAGTGATTTGGCCTTGTAGAGCGGCTGGGTTGCCGGCGGTGTTCGAGGAGAGAGCTTCGAGGTCGGCGCGGATGGACTTGGACTGTCGGAGAGCGGAATTGTAGAGGGCGCTCTGGAGATTCGTCAGTAAGAGTGGCACACAAGCGATTGGGCGCATGGAATACCATTTTTTAATGTATGAGGAAATGTTATCACAGCTTCCTGCGCTTCATGTCTCTGACATCTTTCACATGCGACGACGCGAAACGTGGCTGAATGAGCGCGCCCCGGATGGTGCCTGGAGCCGACGTCATCTGCTCGTCGGCAGGGATCCTGCGACATGCAGTCCTTCTTCCTGCATGATTCCTACATCGTCTCCTTACAGCACACCGATGGGAGGCACGTCTGTCGAATAGATCCCCAACGATCGCTCACTCGAACGGCCATGACGAGCAGTTGGACTGTTGAGGGATAACACCATACACCGGGATGGACCTCCTTCGCCAGATCGTTGCCAGCCCGCGAGCTCGGCATCCAGAGGCGGGTCTGGACCTGTGCTATGTTACAGATAACATAATCGCGACTTCAGGTCCCTCAGGAACATACCCTCAGATCGCATACCGGAACCCATTGAAAGACCTGGTCAAGTTCCTGGACTCCAAACATGGCGAACAATGGGCAATTTGGGAGTTTCGCGCCGAAGGGACGGGATATCCAGACTCTGAGGTCTACAATCGGATCAGACACTATCCATGGCCCGATCACCATCCTCCCCCCTTTCATCTGATACCCTTGATCATGGGCTCCATGCGCCAGTGGTTGAAGGACAAGGACGCAGAAGGCAAAGGAAGAGTTGCGGTGGTGCATTGCAAGGCAGGAAAGGGCAGGAGTGGGACTGTGGCCTGCACATATCTGATCAGTGAAGAGGGCTGGACGCCAGAGGATGCGAAACAGCGCTTTACAGAAAGAAGGATGAGACCGGGTTTTGGCGCGGGAATCAGTATCCCCAGTCAGGCGCGATGGATCACATATGCTGATCGATGGACAAAGGGTGGAAAGGTATACGTTGAGAGACCGGTGCAGATCATGGAGGTGCATGTCTGGGGACTCCGTAACGGTGTCAAGGTGTCCATTGAAGGATTTGAAGACGAAGGCAAGGTGATCAAGAACTTCCATACGTTCCAGAAGAGCGAGAGATACATTGTGCGAGGCGACATCAAGAAAGACAATGGCCTCGCAGATGCTGCTTTGGAGGTCATGGGTAAGAAGAAAGCAGGTGGAGATGCCGCCAAACAGGTCAAGGTGGCCGAAAAGGCTCAGAAAGAAGCTGACGAAGCCGCCTCGAACACACCTGATGACGATTTGCCAACCGGAGGAGACGTCGTCTTCCGGCCTTCAAAGCCGGTGGTCATCCCAACCAGCGACATCAACATGGACTTCGAAAGGCGCAACAATTCCAAATACGGTGGCTTCGCGATGGTCACTTCGGTCGCGCATGTTTGGTTCAATGTTTTCTTCGAAGGCAACGGCCCGGAGCAGAAAGGAAATGCAGATGACTCGGGTGTCTTCGAGATCGAGTTTGACGCCATGGACGGCATCAAGGGCAGTAGCCGAAAAGGCACTCGAGCATTCGACAAGATGTCCGTCGTCTGGAAATCTATACCTCCAACGGAGAAGCCCATCGCTGTCGTCAGCGAGCCGGGAGAAGGCGAAGAGGTCCAGCAAGCACGAGCAGCAGATTGGAGAGGATCAGATCAGAAGTCCGACGATACTCAGAAGATGTTGGGTCTGCGGCAGGCGGATTCGGGGAGTGCAGATATTAGTCGTGCGAGCAGCGTGCAGACTAACAAAAGTGGCGGCGAGGCGCCGGAAGACGAAAATGAGGGTGTGCAGAGCACAGGGCCTGACGGAAAGGCTCTGGATCATAACAAGTCTGCCAGTGACAACAGAAATGCAGGTTCCAAGTTGAAGACATCAGAGTCGGCGCCCGTTCATGCCGAATGAAGAATCGCTGCTGCAATGGTGTCTTGCGGTTGTGTTAGCGAGGCGTTGGGGTAATTATCGAACTAGTGTCAAAATCTAATTGCTTTTCTTGAGGCATACAACTATCGACAGGCAAGTAGACATCAGAGCCGAAGATGACAGGACATGCATGCAATGCAGCAGACGTCTTCCAACACCGGCAACACGGTAACAGATGCGCATTGGCAATGTATCAAAGCCTACCTCGAGGCGATCACGGCGTATCCAAAGTCTGCTGGATAGTCAGATAAAGTCCTTGACTTGTTAAAGTTGAGTGCGGAACCGGCGTGGCCAAGGTAGAAGATTCGCGAGACGCTGAAAACATGGAGCCCAAGGGAGACGTCAAGCAGCCAGGAACTAGTCATGGCCGTTGGAGATGACTGGTATCGCTGACTTCAGTCAATCCGAATGCATCAGGCAAGGAACGAATACCAGAAACCTGACGGGTAGCTCGGAAAGCAGTGGAACAATGGGTCTTAGATATCTAGATGTCCCTCAAAGGCAAGAAAAAGAGTGGATGTTAGGAGCATGTCACGTAGCTGGCAAACAGTAAGTCCGATGGAGATACCTCATATCCCGAGTAGACATGGCGGGGAGAGCATACCAGAGACCTACCGAGCGGCTGGAAAACGACGGGTTCAGCGGAGACACTTGGAATAGATAAAAGAAGCAGAATCAGCCAGAGACCTGCCGAATACCTCAGAAAGTTTTATTTCATGGGGATACATATGCACCGGTGCCCCCGTCACAGCCCTATCCCTTAGCCCTACCACGCCTCTCACGCTTGAAGCAGCCAAATTGCCCCTTAGTAGACTCCCTCAACTTTTTGAGGATGCCTCTCATTTCTGGAAGCTCCCCCTGCAGCTTAGCTCTCGCATCATTGTCCGTCCTCTCATCTAAGGCCAAGTAAATCTGTGACTGAACCTCACCTGCCCTATCCGTGGTATAATTAGTAAGAGTCTGTGCCATAAACTCCACATCCAAAGTGGCCTGCATCAACGCCGCCAGAGAGAAGCGCGCTCTCTCCCTGAAAGCATTAATCAGTGCCACCGAGCACTGCTCCAGCAAATAGGAAAGTACCTGACCAGTGAGAGTGGTTGTCGTCGAGCCGGTGACCTCTGCATGGACGAGGACCAAGTGAAGCAAGACATCGTAGACATAAGGCTTGGCATCGACCGGACGAGGTGTTGTTGGCTCCCACTCGGGAGAGCTAATTCCATTCGTGATGGTCGCCGTCAGCGTATCCACGATAGGCTTGACATAAGACTGGAAGAGGCGACCGTCGATCTGTGCCAAAACATCGCGAATTGTCTTTGACTCGTCGGTGAGCTTGACGCTGAAGGCGGCCTCGAAGTGGGAGATGAGCTGGGGAATGACTTCGCTCCGAAGATGCGTAAGGTTGGACAGCGTCAGCAGCATGCGGACGTTCTGAAGTTACGTCAGTAAAATGAACGGACCAGGAAGCAAGAGCAGAAACTTACTCTATCGGAAGCATCGACAGCTTCAGTGCCAAGCACGCCAGCTCCATCGGCATCGAATTCTCTCATTAGAGGTATTGTGACTCCGTCTGGATCAATCGCCTCTCCAACACCTCCGTCATTGACCGTGAGTTTCTCTGCATTCTCGACCATGCTATTCAAACTCTTGTAAAGACTGGTAGTGAAGCATCCTCGAACGACAGACAAAAGCTTGGCAGAAGGTGGCACAACGACCTCCACAGCACCAGCGCCGCTCTTACCGGTCGCTGCGTCGGAGATGTAGGCAATTTTCTGCACATTGGAAAGCACCTTCTCTTCCCAGGCCTCAAAGTACGCTGGCATGAGCGTCAGGTCTCTGCGGTCAGGGCTGCGGGTCCAAGATTCCAGCGCGCGGCACTTCTCGGAGTCACTGCTCCAACTCGAGCAGATGGCTGTAATGAGTCGCTCTCGGACGTTGCTGACGACTGTCTTCAGCTTCTCAGTCTCGCGCGGCTGCTTCACCGCAGCCAAACTGGCCACCTCGCCCATGGCACTGCCAACAAGGGCCAAGAGGCGAGCCAAGTAGTAGGCACCGGAGAGGGAGTTCGCACCCGGCGGCCAGAATGCAAACTTCTCCCAAGCATCTCCCTTCTTAGGGCTTGGCGGGGGAGCATTGTCGATGTCGAAGCTGAAGGTCTTCTTCATACCTGGCGTCAGCGGTGTCTTGCCATCTGGGGTAGCTGGAGTAGGAGGCATCGGTGAGTAGAGGTCGCTCAAATCGTCCACAGGAGCATCTTGGAAGAAGGAGCCGACGTTGTCACGAAGGATGCTGACCAGGTCTAGGGCAGCACTCTGAACGCCATCAACATGTTCCTGCTCGAGCTGAAGGTGTGTGAAACCAGAAGCAAAGACACCACTCGGAAAGGACTTTTGCGCTTTGTTCTCGACGAAGTCTTGGGCACTATTGTACCACTCCAGCAGCTCAGATACAATGCCGGTTTGCGGGGAGAGGATGGCTGACAAGCAAGATTGAACTTTGTCCCAAAACGCAAGCACTTGAGCGGTGTCAAGATCTCGTGTAGATTCTCGGGTCAATCGCAATGTTCCAGTCGAGGTAGAGGCGGAGCGGAGATGCTTCGCAAGAGCTACGATATCGGTGCTGTGGTGTGCCACCAGTTTCCGTCGCTGTATCTCAATCTCAATCCGTGCGCGTTCAAACGAGCGGGCAATGCGATCTCTGAGATACATGTAATAGCTGTTGATCCAGATCCAGATGGGATTTTCCTCGACGCCCAATTGCAGCAGGGTAGACAGGAGTTCCATATGCAGCTCTCTGTCGGACTCTTCGGCGACAGCCGCCGGCCGCTTTCCGTGCGAGTTCTTCAGACGCTTCCACAGCTCATGCTTGAATTCATCGACTTGTGAGGAGACGTCGTGCCACATCCGCGCCGTGATGATAATCTGGTGAACGTCGGCGTCGCCCAGCTCTACATTGTTCTCCTTGGCAATCTTGCCGATGTCACGCGCCTTGTCCGCGTAGTGCTTTGCCTTTTTGTAGGCACCGACGAGAGTGTCGTAGTCGCTCTTCTTGATGCTCTCGTAGATCATGCCGGGTATTGTGAATATCTCGTGATGTTGTTCCAGGGCAACTTGTACAGCTTTCAGGGCCTCTTCTTTCTCTCTTCCGCCCAGAGCGGGGCCCCAGACCTCCTCAGCCTTGATGGCGACTTCTTGTAGCGGCGCTCTAATGCCGGAAACGCCATATTCCGATTCTTTTGTAAGGGCGGTCTTCTTCTTATCGACGGCAGATGCCTTCGACTGCGATCCCCAAGGCCCACTGGTGTTTCTGAAATGGCTGTGATTTCGGCTGGTCTGTCGTGAGTGTGAAAGGATGCTCGATGCGCCGGTCGGGATCTGCGATATACGCGAAGGCTCAACTCCTTGGGTGCGCATCTCTGTATAGACGGTGTCGATGGTAGCTTTCGCACGTACGAAACGCTCGAAGTTGCTCTCTACTAAGACCTTGAGACTTGCGGATTTCTGTTCGATACTCCTACTAAGAAAGTCGAGCCCTTTCAGCAAATCCTCGGTGCTGGCGTCCTGGTGAACGTGTGACAAGTACATGGCCGGGCTGAAGCTAGTGGAGGAGAGCATAAACTTGTTGCGCAAAGCTAGGTTGTCCTGTCATACAGTAGGATTTCAGCTCATGTTCTTTTCCAAATGTAATGCAGCAGACCAGAGGCAGCAAAGGCCGCTGCGTGGCCTGGATGTGGAGCGTTGCGATGGAGATACCTCGACTTGCAATCCCCGTCTCCGCAGAACGGCGGCGACACTAGGTGCCATGCCCAGAGCGTCCGACTCATCCTGCTGCACTCCAGCGTCTTCTTGTTGCCTTCCGGATATGCTACTCTTCAGACTGGCGTGTCGATCCAGCTTCTTATACCGCGAATTCTCATCTTCCGAGGAGTCGTCCTCGTCTTGGTACGGCCATGAGGTGGGATTGAGTGTGGTGATTTTGTACTTGTTCAGAATCTCGCGCTCTCGCTCGGCGGATATAGGCATGTTGTCACCTTCGTTCGCTCGGTCGGTGTCGTTGTCCTGCAGATGATTGCGCATTCATATGTGAGGTAGGCACAAGGGTGTAGCTCAATCGCGGAATAAGGTTGACCCAGAAGGGCTCGTTCCGACCATCCGAAGATCCGAAGCCGGAACTCAAAGCTTTCTGCGTTGCTTCTTGCAGTTATCAACATCCACATCCAACGCCGATCAGCAGCCTCACCTCTCGCGCCCACTGATCTCCCTCACCGTCGAGAGGCAGCACAGCAACGAGGGTCGCGGGCGACAGATCTACCACGTATTCTTAGACACGCACAGCTTCGGCACGATGCTGGCCAGCCGCGTGAGAGCGGCCCCAGCGCTGCGACAATGCCTGCGCCAGGCCCAGAAGCCCACCTTCGTCTCGGTCAGCTCTGAGTGCGCACAATGGGGTCAGGAGAAAGGGATACTGATGAGGAGTGCAGTTCCAATCACGAGGATATGCGACACCGCAAGGCGAGAAGGTCGCCAAATTCAAGGGCCAAACTGGAAGCGATGTACGTACAGCTGGAAGAAGCTCGCGGAAGAGGTGGAAGTGCATGTGAAAGGCTCTAATCTGACATGGCATACCGTCGCAGGGCAAATATACCGTCTCTCTCATTGAGGGTGACGGTATCGGTGTCGAGATCTCTCAGGCCGTCAAGGACATCTACTCCGCCGCAAAAGTCCCCATCAAGTGGGAATCCATCGATGTCACTCCACAATTGAAGGACGGAAAGACTGTCATTCCCGACGAGGCCATTGACAGCATTACCAAGAACTACGTCGCACTCAAGGGCCCTCTTGCTACTCCAGTAGGCAAGGGTCATGTCTCCCTCAACCTGACCCTTCGAAGAACCTTCAACTTGTTCGCCAACGTGCGTCCCTGCAAGAGCATTGCCGGATATAAAACTCCCTACGATGACGTGAACACCGTACTTATCAGAGAAAACACCGAGGGTGAGTACAGTGGCATTGAGCACGTTGTCGTGGACGGTGTAGTGCAATCTATCAAGCTCATCACTCGCGAGGCCTCGGAGCGTGTCCTCCGCTTTGCCTTCCAGCACGCCCAGGACATTGGTCGGACAAAGGTCCGTGTTGTTCACAAGGCCACTATCATGAAGATGTCCGACGGTCTGTTCCTCAGATTGGCACGAGAAATCGCCAAGGACTACCCAAACATCGAGTTTGACGCGGAGATGCTGGACAACACCTGCTTGAAGATGGTCACCGATCCTGTCCCATACAACGACAAGGTTCTTGTTATGCCCAACCTGTACGGAGACATTCTTTCCGACATGTGCGCTGGTTTGATCGGTGGTCTTGGCCTCACACCTAGTGGAAACATCGGTGACGAGTGCTCCATCTTCGAGGCCGTGCACGGATCCGCTCCGGATATCGCAGGCAAGAACCTCGCTAACCCAACAGCTCTGTTGCTGAGCTCCATCATGATGTTGCAGCACATGGGCCTAACACAACACGCAACCTCCATTGAGCAGGCCATTTTCAAGACATTGGCGGAAGGAAAGGTACGAATCTATATGCCCCATGCTTTTCGCCCCATGCTTTTCGCAACCCGGGCTGCTGAAGCTAACCACACCGCAGGCACTCACAGGAGATCTCGGTGGCAAGGCCACCACGACCGAGTACGCCGACGCAGTCATCAAGAACTTGTAGATACCACGACCTCAGCAGTAGCATCCTCGCTTCGTCGCACCATTCACTCTTCGTCTAGAATGCATTGGGTGGCGCTGTTGTACCATAAGATTGTGTCTGTTTAAGTCAGGATGCGACTAAGATACACTAAACGCGATAGATTCCAGAAGACTGCTCGATGCCATTATTCGTCTGGTTTGTGGCGCTTTTGCTGCTCGTTGACATTGTTTGCAGCCGTCGATTGGAGCTGAGAAGATGGACCAAGGTACGTTCCTTTCTCCTCCCTTTCACTTGCGATGATTACAACCAAACGCACTGAAAATCATGACCTTTCGAGGACTGATTACACACTTTTACACCAAGATCACTGAGCATCTCCTCCATTCAACTCTTCGATTAAAATGTATTATTCATGGGGGAGCAGCAAGCTAAGAGTACATTGCAGGTCATCATCGGAATGCTGCAATCAATTCCCAAACAGGTAAGCCAATATCCTTTCCCTCTTAATCAACTCTCCGATGATTACACCCAAAAAGCACACTGAAAATAATGACCCTCTCCAATGGGGCATGATATTTCATCTTTTAGACACCAAGATCCCTGAGGAATTTGAGTTTGCCATTTTGGCCTTTGGTATTCTGTCGCCGTGATTGGAGGAACATGCTGACTTTCCCACCAGATGAGTTCCGAACGAAGATTTGATTAGAACATCGCGGCCCCCGGGGTTATCTATCCGCGAGCATCAGTGGGATATTCTATCATCTTGTATGCGTGATTACGGGCCAACTTACACATGGTGCGCTAGTGTCAGGTGCACAGGGGGCAAACCCGGTACCGCAATCGCAGGTGACACTTGCCTATAAGAAACGAAAAGAAAGAATGTCAGCCGTTGCGTGCCATGACTGTTTTGGCTTTCCGGGTGGTTGCGTTGCACTTACTACGGAGTCGGGACAGATGGCGGAACATCCCGTTGCCTATTGGGTAGGAGGACCGTTGGTTGACGGTGCATCTCTCCAGTGACGATCAGAGGTCCTTTTGTTCAAGGGGTTGCATTGATGAACGTACACGCTCCTCGAGTGGTATGAGACCAGGCATTCGGACCGGATGGCGACGCTGTGTGGGCTCTGTGCCATCTACGGCCACTGCTGCTGTGAGCATCGAGGCAAGCAGGATGAAAAGTTGCATGTTGGCGATGGGGCTGGACTGGCAAATGGCTTGTTTTCGTTGTCTGTCTTGTAGCAAGTTGTTGGCTTTTCTGTGAGTTCGAGGTGAACGTATAAACAATTTATCTATGTTCTTAACGACGCCATTCAACACTCGGACACTGGGATCTATTTTCGCCGCGTAGCCAATGTCTCACCTGTTAGCGTACTGCTTCCTCACGCATACGAGTGTAGTTCCCTTTCTGCGGTGGCCGAGGACCCTATCAAAACTTGGACTTGCAGCAGACCGGTACAGTCCATAGACTGGACTTGTAGCAAAAGAGGACAAAGTAAACAGACGAGACGCTCCCGTAAGATTTACCAGTACGATGCGTGAAGTCTAGATTCGTAGATTCGGAGATCCGTTGATCTCCCTGTCTAGATTGAGAGATTGGCAGTGCCGAGGCCTTGGTCTTTTGGGGTCTGCAAGGCTCTTGGCTTCTTGGTTGTTGGATGTAGCATGTGATAGGATGTGAATTTCCTCCTACGGTAGCGGTGATGAAGTGATTTCTGGAGAAGGTAAAATTGGATTCTTGATTCGGGCAGGTTTAGGAGTCGCCCGTTGCATGTCGGGTAGGACCGCACGCCGATGTTCTTCTAGCAGCATTTCTCGTGAAGAGCGCGACGTCTGGTATCCAATCGACGTAATCCGAAGGCTCGTAGCTTTGCCCCGAAGCAGTATGAGTCTGTATGGGAGGCATTCGAAGATTCCTCCGTGCCATTGCAGGTCTGTCGGCGGAGGTGCCTAGTGGCGGCACTTTTCCCCTCCTCAACCTCCGCGTCCTCTGCCTCGTCCGCGACCCCCTCTGCCGCCGCGTCCACCCCTATCTCCACGGTGATGATCACCTCTCGGTCCCGAACCTCCTCGTCCTCCGCGTTGCGACTGCTGGGCGGCCTGTTGGTCCTTGACCGTATCCACGACTTCGTCCGGCACTCGTAGGTATTTGATCTATGTTATTCCGCCCCAACATCAGCAAGTCGCGCACTTGCCGCCAAATCATCCGAACAGGGACCATATCTCACGTTGTTCCCTCGCACGTAACACTCGGCTACTCGGAAGAATCTGTCCCCGTCGGGGGATGTCTGCACGACCTCTTTCAGGGTGATGTTCATGTATGTGTCGCAGTTGACGAGGTGGCCGTTGAGCGTTTCGCCGGTCTTGAGCTCGACGAGCATCGGGTGGCCTTGCGCGGCGGTGAGGAGACCGAGGGGCAGCTGGAGGGAGGAGGTGTCAGCGACTGATGGGGTGTTTTGTGAGCGGTGAGGCTTCAATGGGCATACAAGTGGGCGGACTCACCATGATGAATGCGGATCTGCGGTTGAGGCGACTGGGTGGAGAGATGCTACCGCCTCACATGCATAGCGTATGGTTCACGCTCTGTTGATCGCGTCTGGTGTATGTAGTGCTTGGCAGGTTGACGTCGGTATTACGCGAGTCATGTCATCAATTTCCCGCCTATACTTTGATGTGCATTGATGAGACGATCTCTGCCCTACCTTATCTCAGGCCACTCTCCCTTCGCTGCGGCGCAGCTGAGCCTCGAAGGATGATTTCAGGCAACACCATTCCCACTCCATGAGGTCTCCTCACTCTTCTGCCTCTCCATCTTCCACCTTTCAACTCCGCGCTGGCCTCAAAGGCTCGATCTGCATCTTCTGGACATTCTTTGAGGGCTTCGGACCTTTTGAATCAAAGGCCATCGCATCCCTGTTCGGGTATGTAGAGGAGCAGCAGACGAGCAGCGATGCGCTCGTTGGCCTCTCTCTTCGCCGCAGCCCTGCAATTGGCGCCCATCCGCTCTCTCCCCATTCCACGCCACAGCATGAGCACAGAAGCGGATATACAAGTTCTGGAGTACGGTGAGAAGACGCCTTCCGGGCTCCGAGATGCTTTCACGTGCTCACGCGTCGTGTGAATCAATCCAGATGCGGAGCGATCCTTCACCAGATTCGAGCTCCGTAGTAGCGCACTCGACCGGGATGAGCTGACGACTCCTCTGGTAAGTCCACGTCACGTGGGATATCCTTGGCCTCCCTTCACCCTCCGTTTCACCATCCGTGCCTGACAGCTTCCGCTTCGTACCTTACGCTGACGTCTTTGCCTCAGGTCTTCGAGCTACTGGTGCATCCCACCGACCATCCGTCATCCTCCAGCATCACCCTGAACCGCTGGCCGCTCGATATCGAGTGGACGGGCAATCACTCGTCCGCGGAACCGCTTGTCGTGGCACCACGTACACGTCTCATCACGGCGGTAGATCAACTGGGCTCTTCACATGCACTCCAGATCGCGCTCTCGGGGAAAGTCGCACTGTCGTCAGCGTCAGACCCTTCAAACCCTCAACCGGTTTCCCAAACACATGGGACACAGGACCAGGACATCAACCTTCAGATCGAGTCAGTAGACGGCTCCGCAACGAGGCTAGGTTTCATCCTGAGAACAAGCCCCACCATCCCGCGTAGGAGACTTCTCAGCTTGACGTCCATCAATTCTCCTCAACAAACCGTCCATTTCGAGCAGCTGGAGGAATTGCAAATGGTCGCTCAATCGGAATCACATTCCACAGATGATACCGCTACCGAGGATCCACCCGCGTATGACGAGGATGCCTTCGACATTGACGCGGAGATTGAGTCCTTGCTCCTGCTCGAGGCTGAAGCTAGCCAATTACATGGGGCGATTGCGGCCAAGAAGGGAGCCATAGCCAAGTGCCTCAAAGATCATCGCGACGACCTCACCCTCAAGCATCTCCTACAACAATGCGACGGTCTTTTCTGCGCTGCCAAAGTCATTGCACAGCGCCTCTGCGACAAGATGGGCATCTTAACAATACCCGAGGCCGGTTACGCCAGGGTCCAGGACCCCAACTTCCAGCAGCTTGTCGAGTTGCACGAGAGTAATGAGAAGGCGCGCCAGGCTTCTAAACTTAGAACATCACCGGACGGGACTACAACAAACACAACAAGAGTGGACGGACTTCACGCCGCCGCTGCTATTCAGCCAGTGGAGGTCGTCTACCCACAGAACGTCCTGCTACGCGTACTCGGCGTCATTTCGACGGCGCTGGGCCTTGCTGCCTTCTTCTCTTACCTCCGCCGACAATGTATGTCCATGCGTCGCCGCGTGGAGCGAGCGGCGGATGCAGAAGAGCGCCGCAATGAAAGAGCGTACCGACGTGCCGCACGACGGGCAAAGATGCGCAGAAGATGGGATGCCTTCGTGGAAGCCATCAACTGCTTCCGGTCTCCTCCGGAGCCGCCCAATAGCGATTACGATGAGAAGCGGGCATTGATCCTGCAGGATGCGTTCCTGGAACAAGATATAGATGCGGCGGAGAAGGGCGATCTGATGGAAGCGGAGATCCGGGAACTACGACACGCTCATGAGATTGTGGCCAGCCTGGTGAGAGTGGACGAGAATCGATACGATATGGTCAGGCCGATCAATGACCCGCCGCCGTCGATGGTTCCACTCCCTTGCGATCACACAGCACGCTCACGAGCGAGCACCGCGACAACGGGCAATCCGCCTTCGTACTTTTCGGAAAGCCTGCCCGACTACACATCACGGTATCAACGCACCGAAACGGCAAGCATTGGAAGTAGCCTTCGCAGCAGCCTTCGAAGCAGCAGTGTAGCAACCGTCGACGGCTCGGACCTTTCGAATCCTTCAAACACCGCGTCTGCCACTGACTCGGACTCCGTGATGTACACAGGCAGCACAACGCGTTCTCACCGGTCAGATACCAGCACTGGCACCCGAACGTCGCGATACACCCCTGCGAGCAGTATCGTTGAGACTTCCCCAAGAGCGAGCGACGAGACCTTGCGAACCGGATACCGCAATAGCCGGTGGTCGAGAGTAACTGACGACACGTTGTAACTTTCAACTACGTTGGGTTTGACGTTACTAGAGATGAGACGAGCGAGGAGAAAGGCGTCCTCTTGCAAATGGATGGGTGTATCCATCTCGAGAGGCCGCAGCGAGCCGGATAGCAGCAAATCAGCAAAGGTCTCCGTCGACATGACACTTCGAGGCTTGCGACGCCGGTATACATACCTGTTCGGACGGCTACGACATTTGCATGGCGTTGGTGGAAAATCGGGACGGGAATGGCGCTGTGCGCCTTTGAAGCGAGGGACATCCCGACCCATTTGTGTCGTATATTAATGTATGATGATCTGCACGCATGTTCTGCATACCTCCAAGCAAAGCAGGAAAGGTGTGAGTAGTTCTCCCCCTTTTGCTGATTGAGACAAAGCTGGAGGCTAAATTCGAGACAGAGCAAAACCATAGCATTCTCAAATAGGTTACCACCCTGTCTTCTAAGTTAGGGCTGACATGTGGAGTCTCTCCACATACAGTAATAAGTGGACCTTGTCTAGCTTGTGAAGAGTTAGGTTATTAGGTTCTCTCAGCCCTGGATCGTAAAGACACCCCTGGATCCACTTTTACGAGTAAGCCACACAAGCGCCGCCTTTACGCCGAGAGAACCGATGCTACTACTGACATCCCTTTCCCGGACAATGGAATACTCCGACCACACGTCTTCGGCAGCTAGAAAATGTCTTTCCCGATCAGGAAAGGGAAAGGAGAAGTTGCAGCTCTCCCTCATCATTATTCATTCGGAAAGTCAGGCATGAAGATTCGTATCTCCGCTTGCTTGGCTTGGACCTCATCAACGCAACCTCATGCAGGCACCACATCTATTCTATGCCGTTACGAGAAGGGAATCCTCGCATTCTACCCGTGAGCGTGCGGGAGCATGGGCAGAGGCTGCTCCTAAGCCTCAGTGTGGCTCTTGCTAAGCGCTATGTTGCACGCGATCGGTGTATGCTGCTGATGTCTCAGCCGCATTACAATGTAATGTGCAAGGATATATTTAACGCTGCAACCTCTCCTCCTCCCCGACTTCCTCCCTCAGGGCCTCCCGTCCGGTTGATGCGACGAGATGTTGTTCAAGAATTGCTTTTCGACAGCAGCGCTGCTGGTTTCCGCAGCACATGCATTCTTAGCTCCGAGGGCGTTACCTGAGAAACAGCTATCCAAACGAGTTTACTATCCGGCCCCAGTGACGGATTTTCACACGATCACGACTCCTGGAAGCAATATCACCATACGCTACAAGATTCCCAGCGAGGAGGGTGTGTGCGAGACCACGCCGGGTGTGCGCAGTTATTCTGGATATGTGGATCTCAGTGAAGGTATCGTCTGGCGTTTCATCATTAGAGGTGGCGAATTGCTGATCTGTTGGCTTTGGACCAGATGTCCACGTTTTCTTCTGGTTCTTCGAGAGCCGCCGGAACCCTGCAGAGGACGATTTCACCCTCTGGTTGAACGGTGGACCCGGAAGTGATAGTCTGATTGGGTTGTTTGAGGAGTTGGGTCCTTGTCGAATCACGCCGGAATTGGAGACTGTGCTGAACCCGTACTCCTGGAACAATGTCTCCAATCTGCTGTTCCTTTCACAGCCGGTTGGCGTGGCCTTCTCATACCAAGCTATGACGAATGGTTCCCTTGGGACTTGTACGTCTTTTCCCGGTACACGGCAAATTTTAGCATCCTCCTGACTTTTTGTAGGGACCGGCGACTTCTTAAATGCTACGCAAGCCCCAGTGACTGGCACTTGGTCCACCTTGGTCCCCGAGAACGAGGGGGAAATCAATACGACGGACCTGGCGGCTCCGGCGGCATGGGAGGTTCTGCAGGCCCTCTTGGAGGCACTCCCGCAGCTTCAGAACAATCGTGCCACGGCACCGAAGAAGTTCAATCTGTGGACGGAGTCCTATGGTGGGCATTATGGACCTGCTTTCTTTAACTACTTCTACAAGGCACGTGAAACATTCCATCGCTCCGTCCTGCGTGGCGCGAATACTGACGACGAGTAGCAAAATGAGAAGATCAAAGACGGTTCGGTGTCTGGCTACGCCATGGAATTCAACACTCTCGGCCTCATCAATGCCATCATCGACGAGACCATTCAAGCAGGCTACTGGCCCGAGTTTGCAGTCAACAATACCTATGGAATCAAAGTCTACAACGACACGGTCTACAGCTATGCCAAGTTCGCGAACGAGATGATTGGCGGCTGCCAAGATCAGATTCAAGGCTGTATTCAAGCCGCACAGGACATCAACGGCGGATACGTACAGGGAAAGATCACGAAGATTGCGACGGCGTACCCTGCCATCGCTGCTCTGTGCTCTGAGGCACAGGTGATGTGTCAAGACAACGTTGTAAGTTGCTCATTGCCGAACTACTATTTTACGCGCTGATAAGGGGGGGACCAGGAAAGCTTGTACTACCGCTACGGCGATCGAGGAACGTACGATATCAGACATCCGACCAAAGACCCGACTGCTCCGTCTTACTATGAAGCCTACCTGAACCAGGCACATATCCAGCAAGCTCTGGGAGTTTCCGTCAATTACACCGGCATTAACTACGATGTATGGTATGGGTTCCAGTCGCGCGGAGATTGGGTCTATCCCAATTTCCTGCTGGACTTGCAGGAAATCATCGCAAGCGGCGTCCGAGTCGCCCTGATTTACGGAGACGCAGGTACGTCACCCCAATCCACCATTCCCATTCCCATTCCCATTCCCCATCTTCTATTGTCAAGTGAGCGTAGACTCACTCTTCCTCACAGACTACATCTGCAACTGGTTCGGCGGCCAAGCCGTCTCCCTCGCCGTCAACCACACGCACAAAGCCGAATTCGCCGCCGCCGGCTACGAACCCATGATCTACGGCGGAATCCAATACGGCGAAGTGCGCGAGCGCGGAAACTTCTCCTTCACTCGCATCTACCAATCCGGCCACGAGATCCCCTACTACCAACCGCAAGCCGCCCTGGCGCATTTCCAGCGGGTCATCGAGGGCGTGGATATCCCGCAGGGTTTGCAGAAAGTCACGGCCAATTGGACGAGTACGGGACCGGAGAATTCAACGCGTACGGAGTCTTTTGTGCCGTTGCCGCCGACTGATAGTGCCGGGTTTGCGGTTTGGAGCTCGAGTATTGTGGCGAGTTATGATGCTTTGGATCGCATGCCGCCGCCTACTCAGACGCCTTGATTTTGGGGGGGAGGGGAACAGGTACAGGTTGAAGATGGGAGCTACCTAGGCGGAGGCAGGTTTTTGGTCGCAGCGAGCTCCAGAGACAAGACAGGTCCTGTATGGAAGCACCGATGACTCACCCCGTTCGCGTGCAGGTAGATGATGAAAAAGCCACTTGATGAACACTGCAGGCCTTTCGACTCGACTGGGATCAAGAACGTGGGTCCAAGCGTTTGCTGTCTAGTCCCACGCTACGGTTTTCTTGACCAGCTGCCATTCACTTGGATCACATGCGAATCCGGCTAAGCCCGGCTCGGCAGGACGAGCGTTGGTCACCGTAAATCTACACTTGACGGTCTCTACCCTTTTCCTCGCCGCGAAGGAAATCAGTCAGACGAGAACCCATAGCGATAATCACACAACAAACGAAACAAAATGCACTTCATCATCATCCTGATCGGCCTCTGCGCCTTTGCCGTTTCCATTGTCGCCGCTCCAACTGTGAATGTCCACTTTCCCTCCCGGGGGCTTCTGAGACGACCACTTCCTGATTAATTGGAATGTCTAGCCCATTCACTTTTCCGCTAAGCTCACCTCCCGCGTTTCGATGCAGTGCGGTCTGGTCCCTCTGCTCCTCCCAACCCATTCGACTGCTCGAGCGCTTTGGGGGATGTGAACCGTGCCAGTGCCAGGAGAAGGGGTGATTTCCTCGCTACGAGTAGCATCTCCCTCGCGCCAACGCGTGATGACGAGGAAGTGGTGATGATGAGGCGGATAGTAGTCTGGAAACCTTGAATTTTTTTCGAAGCGGAGCGAAGAAGGGGGCGTTGTTCGTCGTGAGTGAGTGGGGAATGAATTTCAGGTGGCGATTGATCAGGTGAGAAATACTTCCTCTTCTTTTTCCCTTCCAGTTTTTCACGGGGGGGAAGGGGGCGATTTTTGTAGGGGCTGACTGATACTTTCGTCTTTCTATACCTTAGGCTCTCACGCTTCAGAACAAGCAGATGCTTTCCCTTGGCCTGGTCGGTGATGGAATTACGACGAATCCGTCTAAGGCTGTCTATCAGACACAAGCTCGCTCGTGGTATGATTGACTGCAGTACCTGGCGCGGCTGGCAGGCATTTGATTGCTCACTCTTGGGCTGCGGGCCATGTCGCGTTCCGGGGGCGTTCCCGCCGAGCGTGGGTGGGTTGTGTGCGTCGGATACGGGCATCGAGTAGAGCGGCAAGCAGCCGGGGGCGCAGGGCGCAGGGAGCGACGAGATGCAGGTGTTGTTGGGTAGTTTACGAGGGCGGTCTTTTCTTCGGACTGAGATGAGCGGATTTGATGCCATGGCAGAGCAATGAAACGGCGTGAATGGTCCAAGGCGGCAATTTTAGAGTGATACACATCGAAGGCTGTTGCGTCTCCTCTATCTATCTATCTATCTAGAGATCCTTCATCAATTCCGCCAGTGTCAAAGGTTTCCTCACCGCATTGGAATACCCTTCATGATAAGTGACCCATACACTGGGCCCCTGTCTTTCCTTTGCCTTGCTGGCTTTCGACTTGACAGCCTCGCCCCCTACAGGAACGGCAATCGGCCTACCAAAGAAGTCTCGTGCAACAATCTTCTTGGGGCCTTCGTCCATTGCACCGCGTTTGGTGCTTGGTTCTGCTGCTGCTGGAGATGAAACGCCGCCAGAGCGCGCCATTCTCTGTTCTTCGGCGAGTCGCTTCTCTTCTTTACTCCACTCTTGTTCTAACACTTGTCGTACAGCATAGCGGACTTTCAGTCCTTCACCAGTATTGAAAGTGCAGAGGCTGTCGAGTGGCGGTTCCATGCGGTAGATCCACTGATTGGCACCAAAGGCAGGACCCGAGTCTTCGAACGAGAGCTTGACGCGGTCGAAACGCACGCCGGTTGCTCCCATTGCATTCACGGCACGTTTGACGAGCGATTGTTCCGATGCCTTTCGAACAGATGCGGTGCTTTTGTCTTTGCCGCTGCCGCCCACTACAACAGGATTGATGTTGGGAGAAAGCATTCGGAAGAGGTACGGTTGGAGATCAGTCGCGATGTCCGCGGTGGAGGTGAACGCTCGAGCCAGTGGTAACGACAAGCCGGACTGTAGCGTCTGGATATGAGCCGCATTTTGCTTTCCGGCTTCGTGTGCAGCCCAAGAGGCGCTGGGGCCAGAGAACGGATGCGAGGGAGTGGTATCCTCGTCGGCATCGTTGACGGCAGTGTATTGTGCACGTGTGGCAGAGGAAAATAAATGGTGAAAGCCAAGGACGGGGGCACTCAGGTACGGGGCCAGCTCCCACTCGTTGCTGCTGTACACGGCGCTCGAGAGCTTGTCGTGAAAATGCAGCCATTCGTAAGCAGCGTCAGGCTTGGATAGGAGAGTGTCGTCCTGGAAAAGGTATTCAGGGTACATGGTGTAGCAGTCGGTCACGACTCGATCAGTGTCGCCATGAGTGTCGACAAGCTCCCTCAAACGCTGGGTCGCAGTCCGTCTCAACCCCTCAGCAACACCTTTGACGCTGTTGATGTTGCTGGACTGCTCGGGAGTAGCCATTGCCGTCTGCTTGGGGAATCCCGCTCCCTCCTTGAAGACACGCTCGACGATGTCCTTTGGACCGCCACGTCCCAGCCCTCGCGCTGCACCACCGCCATATTGTAGATCGTTAAGCACGTTTTCTTCCACCCATTTCCGAGTCAGCCGTGCGCTGCCGTCGCTCGTAGCACGAAGCTTGCCAGCAACCCATTCGCCAACGACCAAAATGCCACGCATATCACCTTCGCCAGCACCACTCCGATTGCGATCTTCTTTGCGGTTTGTCACTCCCCATGCAGCCTCGCACAATCTTCTTACACCATCACCGTCACACGACACGCCCTCCTTTTCGAAGATGTTCTGAAGACGTGTGACCAAGGTCTGGATTTGTGGCTTGCGGACATGTATCACTTCAGCAATGGTACTTTGCCGCAGTGGTCGGAGTGAAGGGTGGTAGACATCGTTGCAGACTAAGATGATGGGCCGTAGGAGTCTGAAGCGATCGCCTTTCTTCGTCCTCGCCGGAGCCTGTGGGAGAGTGCCGAGAACATTCGAGTTCTTTTGGTCCAGCATGATCAGATCGATGAGAGCTTTGACGAAGCCTCCCTCTCCACTTCCACCGCTGCCGCTGACCACACCGTCGACTTCGTCCACAATCACGCAGACCGGCTTTGCTGCCTTCTTCGCCTTGCCGTCCACAGCTTTGTTGTCCACTCCTTTCACGTTTTCGGTGCCGACCATGTCTCGAATGCGTCCCTTGACCACAGCGCTACTCCTCTCGTCACTTGCATTGATCTCTTGTACCTCGTAGCCCGCCTGCCTCGCGCAGACGTGTGCCAATGTCGTCTTTCCCAGTCCGGGCGGTCCAGTGAGCATCAGAATTTTCCTGTGCGGCTTCTCTTCGAAGGCATGCCCATCTGCATACCTCTTCGGCTTTGGACGATACGAGCCTGGGAAAACGATCTGGTCCCACCGCTTGAGCCAGTGCATGACCGCTCTGTGTGTCCGTTCTTCTCCAATGAGATCGGTGAATCTCTTCGCACGGTACTTCTCGGTCCATAGCAACGACGGTCGCTTGGAAGGAGCGGCCTCAGCTGGAGGAGTGGGCAAGTCGTACGCGGCTCTCGGGATACTGGCTTCGGCTTGAGCATCTCCTAGCAGCCGGTGTATGTCGATACCATAGTAGACTTTCTGTGCCTTGAGAGGACGCGACAGGGCGCTCTTCCCAAAGTCGAGGTCGGCGAACTTTCGTTTCTTCTGCGGTGACGGCGTGAGAGGCGGAGAGGAGGTCATCGTCGGCATCTGTACAGGCGACGATCCAGGCAGGACGGGTTCACTGCGAAACACGTCTGATGTCTTCCAGGTGCGATGGTGAATGGGATCTCCAGCTGCAACTTTGGCGCGTTTCGACTCGGCTTCCAGCTCGTTTAACGCGTCGAGATCATCGGAGAGGTCGGTGGGGGCCGTAGTCGTGCTGATGGCGTCCGTCGAGGTGTATAGCTCTGCCAAGTCGTCCGAATTCGGTTCGTAAGGGGAGGATATCGCTGTCATTTTGAAGTCATTCACTTGAAGTTGACTGGGCCGACGCGAAGCCGGGATGCAATGCGTCCGAGGCGTGTTAGGGACGCGTTCCGGAGACGGAAGAACTTTCGCCCGATCCGATGAGCCGCGATCCCCGTCGGCGTTGAGGCCCCTTGCTTCTCTCGACTTCCCTCTTCGTGTCAATCTCGTGTAATATAAATAATATCATCTATCCATGCGCATCCCGGATCCATGGGCGATCCGCAGGTGACCGACTCTCCTCCCACGTCCATCAACACGCGCACCTCCCCGTCCACCACCACGCGGACCCCCAAGTCGACCATCAAGCGGACCTCGAATGCGCATACGCATCCCGTCGTCTACTCGCGCGACTTTGCCTATGCAGACAACGGCCCCATTGTCGTCGTGCCCACGCGCATGGTGCGGACCGACATCTTGACAGCCAGCGCGAAGACCTTCGCCGAGTACGTCGCGCCCTGACCCTCCCACCCGCCCACCCATGCACCTCCTGCCTGTATAAGACATGAGTGAATCCCTGTATTGGAGCTCACGGGCTCGTGTTCGGCTGTTATCACTGGGAGGAAGAAGTCCAAGCTATCAGGACGCCGTGAGCGATGAGGCTGAGAACTTGCGCAAAAGGTTACTCTCGGGACCGACGGTCGATATATTCGTAGGACGTGAGCGAAGGCAATGGAGTCTCCATCGAAACCTGCTGTGCCACCATTCCTCCTACTTCGAGACTGAACTGTATGGCCATCACGATGCGCCGGGAAAGAGGTCGCTGAGAGACAACACGCTCGAGCTACCAGATGACGACCCAGTCGGCTTCGAGCTTCTGGTCAAATGGCTGTACCAAGGGCAGCTGGAGGATACCTCGCAACTGTCGGATGTAGCAAAGTACGAGTACGCCGTGGCTTGCCACAAGCTGCATCTGCTCTGCGACAAGTTCAACATGGTTCGGTTGAAGAACATTGCGATGGATCAATACCGCCAGTGTCTGCACGAATCGCAGCTAGTTCCGGATGCTGAAGAGATTGACGACATCTACGGCGCTTCACCCATCGACTCTCCATTCCGATCGCTCATGATCAAGATCGCCGCCAGACAGGTCATGGACCCGGATGTTGATCGAGACGCAGACGCATACCGGAGGTGCTTCGAAAACAGCTCAGATTTTGCAGTCGAGATGATCAACGCCATTCGACACATGTCCGGCGGCATCTTGTTCGAAGACCCAACCTGCGCCGACCAGTGCACTTATCATGACCACAGTGATGTCTCCGGCTGTCAGACTGAAGGCAAAGGCAAAGGCAAGAGCAGGGCTCCGCGTAGAGTTGCACATCAAGCTACCGCAGGAGCAACCAAGGGGCAAGGTTAGATGCCCTGAGCAATGGCTTTCAGTGTCATATCGAGATTGCTCATGCTTTCAAGGTCCATCCACCATCCAGGCACAGCGAGGGAAGGATTACGTTCTGGGTCCAATGATCGCCGAGCTGCCTGCGGAGAAGCCAACGCCAAAGAAATTGAGCTCCGCTCGCTCTTCGCCAACAGCAGCTCGGGCTGTGGAGTCGCATTCGCCTATCCCAAGGCGGAAGACGCCAAGCTCCCGAACGAAACGACCACCCGCTAATCAGAGCGTAGCCAGACAGCCTCTCCATCGTGCGAACGGGACAGATGGGCTGGACTCCCAACTGCATCTCGTAGCAAGAGATGTTCCGCAGAAATTGGAAAGCAGGAAGCACCCGGATCATATTCAGGTTACTGCGTCGGTGCAGGGGCCTCGGACGGCAAGAAACGTGCCTCTCTTATACCTGACAGGACCGAGCGATTCTCCTTTCGACGCTGCCGAGCAGCCTTATTCTGCGCACGAAAAGGGCCCGCTACAAATGCGAGCGCCAAAGTCGATTGATAACTCGGAAAATCCCCACGAAAACTCGCCCCTGGCGGTGAGAGACGGGAGTAGGGTGGCCCAGACCGGTATCAGCGGTGTTGGGACACATCCCAGCTTGATATTGCCTACTATCGGACAGGAGAATCAATCGGTCGGGGCGGCCGAGAAAGGACACGAGCTTACAGTAGAGCACGTGAGGCTCATTCCACGGCAGGTACGGCCTCGGCCTCGCCACGGTGTGCATGCTCTGCAAACACGCTCGACCGCCGGCGCTGGTGTCGACAGCCACAGTGCAGCCTCCAGCGGCTCGCGGAAGCGGAAGCTCGAAGATCGCACGCCGCGGATACAGAAGCGGGCTATTATCAATGGCAGCAAGGATCTCCGAGCTGTCACTACGCCATGCGGATATGACGAAGTTCAGAGACGCGTCTATTCACGTTCAAGTGCTGGGAAATCTAGTGCTGCTACCAGTCAAGCCGGCAGTCCATCCGTCAGTGTTGCCAGTGGAGGCCCAAGAAAGCTGAGTCGTATTAGTAGTGTGAAGAAGCAGTCCATTGGGTCGACTGGCTCAGTCAGCGTGGTCGATTCCAGAAGGGTAGTTGGAACAGAACAGAAACGACGGCCGCAAAAACTGCGACGGGGCTCTGCTCAGATCAGAAATGGAGTACCATAGGCACCGATATCGAAAGCAATATTTACAAGTACCACATGTCTTGTGAACCACTCCCCTTGCTCGGCGCGCGTAGGTGACGGCGTTGACATCTCCAAACAACGCGGGGAAGAATAATTGTTCGGGGCTTCTTCCTCTCGCTTTGTCGACGGATACGAGGAGTATGCACTTTCTTTCGTATGTGAGGCGAAAGGCACCATCACATGTCAAAGCTTGGCTGCATTCGCCGAAGCTCTGCCGAACCCCCACTCCAAAGATTCGAGAACATGCACCAGACATCAAAACTCACCAAACAGCAGCATCCACCAACATCAACATGACGTCTAGGCAACTAGGTTCCACTAGCAATTGACGCCGCCAATATACCTTTCGGAAACCACCGGCCGCAACACCATCACAATGTCCACGCCCATAGCTCCCAAGAGGAGCAAGCAAAAGGCGAAACCCGCCGCTGCGCCCGCCTTCGCCGGCGACTGCGCCGCGCCGACCGCGCCCCTGAGCCCCGGGTACAAGTGGAACCGTCTCCTCGGCACCTGGATGCCCGACCCGAAGCACCCGGACCACGTGCAAATTTTCCGTGACACGTTTCCCGAAGCGCGGCGAAAGGGCGGCCAATATGCGCCTTCGATGCGACATGTGCCGCCGGAGGCGAAGGGAGGCGAAGGGCGGATTCCGGAGTATATGGGCCAAGAAGAGCGAGGGGAGGTGGTGGTGCTGGAAGACGCTACTGCTGCGATGGGGGGAGGAGGGGTGGGGTTGGATTCGAGTTCGACGTTTGGGAGGGGGCGGACGCCTGAGGGTGAGGAGATGGTGGATCTCTCGGACGGCACGAGGTCTGAAGATGAGGAAGTAGTGCGCTTTTCACGACTTTCCAATTCTTCACCGCAGCAGGATGAAGAAGCTATAGAATCTTTCGAGCGGCTGGCGGCCGAGAGGCTTGCGACATTTACCGGCTCTGCACCTCCGCCGGACGAAGCGGGGAGTGTTCCCTTGTCGAGGCTTCAGAGGGCTATTGCGCGGAAGAGAGCCCATCGGCCTAGTCGGAGGGAGGAGGAGGGGAGTGTTGAGTGGTCGATTCGGAGTAGTCCGGATTGAGAGAGAGGGGACGGCTTGGAGTTGCTTCTGATGGGTGTGATACTGCAATGCTGGAGAGGAGCGTGTGAGATGGGGGGAGAGAGAGAGAGAGAGAGAGAGAGAGAGAGAGAGAGAGTAATCAGGAAGTGGAAAATTTGTACTGCAAGAAAGCTTATAGCGTCTTTTTCCGCAGCGGAAGGTCATTGTCTTCTCGAGAATTCGAGCAACCATCAAGGCAACTGCGACTTCAATAGCGCCAAATCAGCGATTCTTGGCATCGAGATGATGCGTGGACACTCCGAGAGGCAAAGACGCTGTAGGAAAGCCACCAAACCTCTCAACTTAACCTCACGGGCAAAAGACGACCTTGAAATCCGTCTTGGCACCCGTATAACACCCATCATCGGCCGGGCTACCCACCTTGACCTGCGCTGGATCCGTCCATCCTTGATTCAGAGGACAATCCCACGGGAAGCAAGTCTTGCTATGACAAGTCCCACTACCCTGGCCATTAGCAATAGGATACACCCCGACGCCGATATTTTCGTCGCTCCCCTTCATCACGGACAAATTGTACGCCGTGCCCTTCTTGCCGCCGACCACGGCGTATCCGAATTCGAAGAGGGCTTGGGCGTTCCATTGCCTGGCCGTGCCCCATTCTGCGTGCCCGGACAGACGCATGCCGAGGTCGTAGAAGGAAGCAGGAAGGATGTGGTTAGTCTTGGGTTCGAGGGTTATGGGGCTGGATTTCTGGATCATCTCGTAGGCTGGTTGGGCGATTTGGTAGATGGCGAAGGCTTTGGGGAAGGGGCAGTTGTTGTAGACGTGCAGGTTGATGGTCGAGACGTCTCGCGTCTCGAGGGTGGAGTTGATGGTGGTGGTGGTGGTGGGGAATGCGGAGGCTACTGCTAGCAGTGCCGTTAGGGCCAGCCCGGGGGAAGAGAACATGATGAAATATGAAATATGAAAGACGGAGGGGAGATGTTGGGACAGTGGGAAATGCGAATGGGGAAAATATGGAGAAGAAGAGACCTACGAGTTACTTTGGGTGTTGTGGAAGTATATCCACGTTACAAGCCACGAAATGAGTTCTGTGAATCCCTTTGTGGCTTGCATTAAAGGGACAACGGGTCCTCGTCATGCAGTGGCAGCGAATTTCTCTTGGCCATTGTCCGCTCTGTTCAGGAGAGCAACAATTTGGGAGGACAAAGCATCGAACAAGACGTGAGAGGCGTTGATATGCAGACAAAGGATTTAGAAGCAGATCTAAGGAAAGCTTGGCGTTGGTGGTAGAGACTCGAGTAGTTCCAGTGAGGTGAAGTTGAAAGCACTTGATGCCTGAGGCAGAAACTTGGACGTCGGTTCCTGGAATTCGACGTGGAGACGGGACTTTACAACAACTTTTAGCCTGAATCGCTCTCGATCAGTGCCGAACGGCCGGTAATGACATATCCAGAGACGGATTCGGTGTTAGTGATGAAATTGGGAACACGACGAGCCGTCTTGCCGGCTGCCACACCGACGATCATGCAAGGTCGACGCACACGTCGACGTCGTGACCACCGATGACGAAGTCTATTGGAAAACATACATAAAGTCTTGAGCCTCATCGTGTGGAATGTGAAGAGAGTGACTTCATCAGGATACTCCAAGATTCTATCAAGATGCTCTCCGGACTCATACTGACAGGCAGCTTGCTGGCAAGCACGGCGCTTGCTCAGAATGTTACCTTCCAGAATCACTCTCAAACCATCCTGAGAGTGGACAGTGGCAGCTATGGACCGCCCGTGGAAGAGGTGCACTACTGTGGGTGTTGTTCAGAGAAGACCTCGAGCTCAAGCTGATCATCCATATTAGACTACGGGCAATGGCCTGTTGGCATAGCAGCTGCCTCCAACAACCGCCTCTTCGCCACTTACACCCGTGGCGACTACATGTACACCTTGGGCGAAATCATGAACACGACCGCGGAGCGACCGTATCCATCTCAAGACCTGAATTGTCTTCCAAGTCAGCTCAATACGACATGGAATGGCATTGCTTTCGGCTCGAACAATCAATCCTGCATAATCAACGCGCAGGCAGTCTACGTGACTTCGCAATCTGGCAGCAGACCGGAGACTTTGTGGGTCATCGATACTGGCAGGCCGACTGTGCATTCTGCGTCCGGTGCGCCGTCGATGCCGTATGCTCAGCCTGGAGGACCGAAGCTTATCGCCATCAGCTTGGCGAACGACACCGTCTACAGGACCTACACATTCCCATCTACAGTCTACTATCCGGACAGCTACTTCAACGATCTTCGCTTCGACTTCAACCCAAATCTATCCGGCACCTCAGGACAAGGAATTGCGTACCTAGTGGACAGCTCGAACGAAGGCCGACCAGGCTTCATCATGTGCGATCTCGGCACGGGCGAGAGCTGGAGGCGACTTGATGAGGACCGCTCTGTGCTTCGTGGGAATGCTGATGTACCGTCTTACAACGGTGCTCCTTACTACTTGCGGATGAAGGGTATGCCAATCTACCCGGGTCAGCTGGAGGGCCTCGACGGGATTGCACTCTCTCCTGATGGCTCGAGAGTGTACTACTCTCCACTGTCCACTAACTACCTCTGGTCCATCCCCAGCGCCAATCTGCGCGAGCGCGACACAAATCCTCTCGCAGAGATCCAGGCATACGCCAACGTCACCAACCATGGCCAACGAGGTGGAAATGCGAATGGTTTCGAGGCAGACTCCAACGGTCTCATCTATCAATGCATGCCAGAATCGAACGCCATCTACTACTACGATCCAAAAGACGGCATGACGCATGGATATGTAAGAGACCCTCGAGCTGTTGGCTGGATTGATGGCATTTCGGTCGGAATCGATGGATATGTCTACTGGTCTATAAACCAATTACCCTTCCAACCTGACTGGAATAATGGCACGGACCTCAGAGTGCACCCTGGTGCTATTTTAAGGAGCAAGCTGCCAGGTAACGGCACGAAGATCACGGAGCTGTACCAAACAACAGGGAGAGGAAACGGCACCACTTAGGCATAAAGCGTATGGAATAGAGTATCAAAAAGCTAGGCAAGGAATGTAATCCTATCGTTGAGATGATTATGAACGGCGACAACTCTGCTATTTCTATTATAAAGATTCCTTGTTAAAATAAGGTACACTTTTGGAGTGAATGTATATGTGGATCGAACTCCA